AATGTAAGCTGTTGGTGTTAGCTACTTAGTGATCATTTCAATGTAAGCTGTTAGTGTTAGCTACTTTATTTAATTTTATTATGTGTTGATAAGGAGCTGTTGGCTATATAATTTACGCTGTCCGATAGGAATCTATTCGGTTATTAGGGAGTGACTTATGCTAAGAGATGCGTGAGTTTATGCCAGCGGAGGCGTGACTTGTGTTAAGATAGGCGTGACTTGTGCTAAGATAGGCGTGACTTGTGCCATGAGAGGCGTGACGTGTGCTTAGAGGGGTGTGACTTGTGCTAAGAGAGGCGTGAGTTTTGCTAAGAGAGGCGTGACTTGTGCTAAAAGAGGCATAGTTCGTGCTAAGATAACGTGAATTGTGCTAAAAGAGGCGTGAACAGTGCTAAGAGAGGTGTGACTTGTGCTAAGAGGGGGTGTAACTTATGCCAGCGGAAGCTTGACTTGTGCTAAGAGAGGCGTGACTTATAGTTAGAGGGGTGTGACATGCTAGCAGAGGCGGAACTTGTGCTAAGAGAGGCTTGACTTGTGCTAAGAAAGGCGTGACTTGTCTAAGAGAGGCAAGGCGTGTGCTAAGAGATGCGAGACTTATGCCAGCGGAGGCGTGATTTGGTAAGAGAGGCGAGGCTTGTGCTAAGAGGTGTGATTTATGCCCGCGAATACGTAACTTTTGCTAAGATATGCGTGATTTGTGCAACGAGAGGCGTGTTATTAAGGAGAGTAAATGCGGCTGGATATTGTGTTGAGCACACCATCCATTCATGCACCGAGGTCAAGAAAACAATAAACTCTACTTCATTTGCCCAATAGCTCGCTGGGTCTAAAAAAAAAAGAATCATTACTTTTTACTTATGAAGCACTATTAAAAAGTAGAGAGCCCGTTTGTCTTAACTGGTTTTCGGGCAGAGTAATACAGTATAATAACAAACAGATGATAACACAAAGAGTGAAATATCTGATATTATTACTTTACAGTTACCATTATCTATTCTTGTTTTTGTTGTTTGTTCCATAGATTCGACCAGTCAGCACTAGGGATGATAACCGCGATACTCTTCAATAAAGAAATATTTCGTGTTATCTCCCCTGATCTAAATTTCAAAGTCAAAATCAACCGGACTGAGTATATGCCCCAGTATTTCAACTCGTTAGAAAAACATCTGAACAAAGTGTGAAAATTTGTGTGTGATTATTGTTATATTACTTCACTCACTAAAAAGACATAATGTAACAATTATCATGTATTAAATTCAAAATGGAAAGACATGTGTTAATCTATTTACTTACTGCTAACAGCGAGTTGAGTAATGTGGTGTGTTGGGATTTAGACTAATTAAACTAATTCGTTGGGAAATGTGCATGCATGAGTTCTGCTGGAAGTGATGAAGGACTAGTAAATAAACGAAAACGAGACATATCATTTGATGTCACACAATTTGTAATAACTAAATATGGATGTCGAGCCCATTCCACAATGACATAACTTCCATCGAGTTTGTTTGTAAGTTTTTAGCCTGCATATCCTAAGACAATGCTATTTTGCAAAGTCCAAGTCATCAGCTCATGTGTATTGGCGATTCGGCTTAATATAAAAGGTTGACTTTCTATTTCCGAATGCCATAGGTGTCTTAGTGGGGCACGGAAAGTTTCTCTGTACATTATATATATATATATATATATATATATATATATATATATATATATATATATATATATATATATATATATATATATATATATATATATATATATATAAAATCAATAAGTTACATAATCAAAAGGTTGAAACTGTAACATCATGAAAAAACTATATTATGGTGTGGTCAGCACTATTCCCAGCCACCATTACTTTTCCTAACGTGAGTCGGGGGGCGGGGGGCGGACACTGGTAAAAGTATATGTTTTCTATATAAATTTCATTTCGTTCGGGGCGCTCCCCCCCCCTCAGAGACGCCTAGAAGAAACAATGGCTGGGCTGATTCAGAGACGTCCTGCGACTTATACATACATACATATGGCTTATTTTGTCTCGTGAGACAATGGATTTGCGTCCAGAGATTAAAATGTTATCTTCTTCAGGTTACCCTCCTGGGTGCGTACTTGGGGCGTCAAATTATGAGATCGGGGGTCGCTCATGCGTCACAATCCCTCTCTCCACTTGCCGGAACGCTAGGCATCACATATGGTACCAAAAGCTTCGAAGGGGGACCAGAGCTGGTAGTCCTCCTATCGACTACGGGCTTCCACACCTGATCTTTCCTCGATGTTTACTCCTGAAGCCATTTGACTGCAAGGCATCGGGAATTTAAAATCAGAGTGGTTCCTCTCCTATAGGAATCCCCTTAACAATGCTGACGAGCCCCACCTGCCTAAAGCTCCTGTTTTGCTTTATTTTGGCGCCAGGTAACCACCATCAGTAGCGGATTAAGAGGGTGGGCTGAGAGGACTGCAGTCAGGGACCCCCAAAAAATTTCAGCCGGGGGCCTCGCTCAAGCTCAATCCGCCCCTGACCACCATCCACCGCTTCACCTGTTAGTAAAAGCAGTTTCATCAGGCTTAAGTCACACGATTAAACAAATTCTACAAGTACGATAGTTGGAGTTGTTACAGCTTGATCAAATACTATTTCCCTTAACCCAGATTTATTTTGATAAGAAGCTTATTTTTAAGAGCGGATGATGAAACTAAACAACGAACTATCTATTGATATCAAAACACTAGATAGAAAGTAGAAAGTCAATGTTTTGATCCGTATTTTTGGAAAACCATAGGAGAATCCATAGGGCGTCCTTTTCCACTCAGCCTTGACTCACTGTCTCCCCACTCCCTCTTCCCCCCCCCCCATCCTCCCCCCCCCCCCCCCCCCCCACAACGATGATGTTAACTATAATGACGAATGCTACCCCAGTAGCCGAAACAACCGATTATAGAAAATGTAAATGTCATGAAATAAAATGGCGCCAGTTTTGAGGTAAGCTATACCTACTCGCAACTCACTTCACACACAAACTTTCCACCCCAGACCTACTCTTTGTCATTGTATCGATCAAAACCGCATTCAACCATAGCGGTTTTGTTCGCCCGTTTCTCTCTCTCCCTCTCTGCCTCTGGTTATTGTTGTAACCGCCTTGACCACACACTTGGGATAATATTAGACTTGAGGTAACTGGTGTTGTCTCCCTGTGTTCTTTTGCTGCCATAGGTCCACTCTATATTGCCGTACTTGGCTCCTACACACTGTAATTGGCTGTTGTCATAGGCTAACTTAATGTGTAACCCCAAAGGGGGTGAGAGGGGTGAGAACTGAGACAGGGGATACCCGACTTTATGACACCACAGACACTTCCACTAATTTGAAGTTACTCCGAGTCTTTCTTAACGTGTGTGCTCTGATGGAATAATGATTGGAATTTGAAATACATGCAAGTGTACGATCACTTATTTTATAGCCAACCTTCATTTTTTATTCAATTTTTTTTTTATATTTACGTTCTTTTATTTCGAATAATATGTCTGCTATTAATGTGTTATTCCTTTATAATTGGATTAATTATATTTAATTTATATAATTTTCGTTTCCCATTGAAATTGATATAATACAATGTTACCAACATGTTATTTTTTTAATCAAATTGTTGCTTGGCAAGTGAAAATAGAGAACAACGATTTTTAGAAGAAGCTAACAGCTAAACACAGCTAAATTATAAATGGCCTCGGGGCCAGTGGCGGAACTAGAAAAGAAAGGCCACCCCGCAAAGAAATTTTTTGGGCCCCATAGATATATATATATATATATATTTTACAAAATACGAAAATACCAACATCGAGTACTCATTTCGGGCTTGTTCGAGTTTTTTAAAAAATTCTTAGTTTTGAAAAAAAATTACAACAACACGTCAGTTGTATGCGTGCTATTCGTCTGATATGAATTTTTTTTATTCGCCTCAGACACGTAATTTCGTCTGATATGAAAATCTCTGTTTAAATATGTTTTTTATAATACTTCCTGTAGGCAAGTAGGTCAAAAGAAAATGAAGCATGAAAGCTTTGTATTTGTAATGGTTTCTTGAGTTATGTTTATGTTCATGTTTTTTTGTATTTATATTATTAGTTTTAAATACATTTCATTTTTATGCTTTGTCGTTCTTTATTATGTTTTTTTTTTTAAAATAATAACTAAGAGAAGTAACTGCTCTTTAATTTGTTTAGTGCAAATCTATTAAAAGGTGCTTAAGAGCACACACATTTGACTATTTAAAAAAGGGAGATAAGTCATGGAAGTGGTTAGAACGTTTACCTATCTTTCACGCGATGGATTTATTTTCAAAAGAATTTTTGCCGACAACAGCACAACAGCGTGTGTCTGATTGTAGGAGAAAAAAGGAGGACTCGGGATAGCGTCTATAGAATAAAGATAATGAAACCGCAGCTACAGTCTTCTTTTTACAAAACACAACCATGAAGTCAAAAATGCAAGAAAATTATTTTTTTTTAGCTGTAAAAAAATTGATTATGGTCGGCTGTGGGCCCCTAAACGACCCGGGCCCCCCCGCATTGCGGGGTCTGGCGGCACTGTAGTTCCGCCCCTGCTCGGGGCTTCTAAGTTTTAAGCGTGGTCAGAGTAGGCTAAATCTTTTTACGATCTGTCTATATCTAGAAATTTATACACCTGAGAAACACACACACCTTTCCTTTAATTTGGGTGACGCGTTTTATCAATGAGAACAATCGTTTTTCCGCTTGACCGCTCAGGCTGACTTTGGCCATAGGCCTACCTGATCTCATGTGTAATGGCTTTATGTTCCACTTGCCTTAATATTAGCACGATATAGAAAGGTAGACGCAAATGGCTTTAAAATAAGTCTCAGTTGTCGACAACTATTTAATTTCGGAGCAAGATAAAAGAGCCTCCGAATTATTCCATTTTAAAGCTGTTTTTTTAAATTGAGAAATCTAGTAAAATAGACACCAGCGGCGATAAAAACAGGCCAACACACTGTGTGAACTGTGTCAACAAGATTTGATTCAAGCGTACACACAAAACAACACACTTAACTTGTGTGTTTGTTATGGTTGTGGTAAGTTTGTGGAAACTCGCATCTTCGATTTTTTTTTAACTCGGGTTAATAATCTGTGGTTTTAATTTTAATTGAAGATCTATGTCTAGATTCTAGATAGATTAGATCTAGAATCTAGATCTAGATCTAGATCTAGATATCTAGATCTAGAATCTAGGAATTATTTTTAACTTTTTAGTTTTTTAGCACACTCATCAGTCATCACAATCACAGCTGGTTTATTTATTATAATAAATGTATAGGCCTAGTAACTAGTTTTATTAGTAAATTCACCTATAATAATAGTTTATGATTATGATAGTTTCAGCCACACAAGCAAACTCATTCAGCTTGAACTAGAATTACAAGATCTAAATCTAGATTCTAGACTTCTCTAGACTAGATCTCAGGTAACTGTACTCAGTGTACTGTAACTGTCCAAAATCAACATTGGCACACTAAGTAGATCTAGATTATATACTAGATCTATATATTGTCTAGTCAGCAAACATGTTGGAATGGCTATCAAAATAGGAAAAGGCTAGACCTATTGGCCTACTTTTGTACTTTCAATTTAAAAAGCCATATTAATAGTTTTGAGATTTTAGTACTTAATAACCAACTCCTTAAAAGCTGACCAGTGTTTTTTCAGGCTTTTTTCTCCCGGGGGGGGGGGGGGAGACAACATTTTCGGGGGTGGCGGACACTGGTAAAAGTATGTTTTTATAAATTCTGTTTTGTCCAGGAAGTGATGCTTGGAAAAAACTCTGAAGCTGACTTTTGTTATCTAACCATCTGTCCGCGTTGCTCTATAGCAGGGGTCTCCAAACTACGGCCCGCGGGCCGGATGCGGCCCACGAAGTCCTCTCATCCTGCCCACGGAGATCTTTTTGTCCAAGGAAAATTCGTTAGTTGGTGATTGCTGAGGAACTTTGCCCAGAAAAATCAAAGACATGCCTGGAAGAAACTGGCCCCCGAACTGAAATTTGATAGTTAATGCGGCCCTCAGACTGAAAAGTTTGGAGACCCCTGCTCTATAGCAAGGAGGGCTTTGGCCTGCTTCACTAGCTTCTTCCACTCAGAGTTGCCTTAACTCCATAGGTCTATCTCCACATCATCTAGATCTATCTACCTGAGTCTTTAGGGTTTCGGTGATGTAACATGACTAGTAGATCTAGCCATTAATTTTTGTTTTTATACTATTAAAACATTTATATAAACAGTTTAGATCTGGTGCTGGTCTTAAAGGATGGACAACTACCACTATATATATGGGGCATTGTAGGCCTACCCAAAACTCTAATTCAGTGGTTCTTAAACTTTTTGGTTGGAGTTATAGAACACCACCAGTTTCATATTCTTAATAGTTCTATTGTTTGCTCTGAAAAAATCCAATCTTGAATCATAACAGCCAGATGTGTGTCTGACCTCTGCCGAACCCCTGAGACTGGCTCACCAAAACCTTGGGGTTCAATCGAACCCAGGTTAAGAACCACTGTTCTAATTTCATTCAATAATAGAATTTAAAAAGTTTTTTAGTCTTTTATTTTAAAGCAAGGCTAATTAATTACCATAATTTCCTCTATTTTTAGTGCACCATCATTAAGCAGCAGTAATGAAGACTGCTAACATTTTACTTTTACCTACCTGAACACCACACACCAGCAGGCCTCTCTTAGATTAAATCACCACTGCCTGATAATTAAAATGGATCCTCAAAAAGAATCCACTCTTCTAAAATATGTAAGTAAAACTTTATATATTATACTCTATTAATACACTTTTTTAGACAACTTTTAAAAACTTTCTTAAAGTACTTGGTAAATAATATAATTCATGTTGACATTTTTACATTTAAAAGCTATATGCTTTTGTCTAGGCTATTTTAACATTTTGTGTCATTTCCCTTTATTCAAAGATTAATATCCTTGGTGGGCATGATGTTATAAAGCTAATGCATTTAAAAAGTGGACACTTCTACCTCTATTTACTGAACATTTTGTAAGTATTTGATGAAAGATGTCTAGTTTAAAAAAACTTCATCAACTATATTATAAGACTATAATGATAAATTATATCTCAAAAAAAGAAAGTTTTAATATAGTAATCTTTTTATATATGTATAATCTCTATTTCTATTGAAGATATTTTGTTCTATTATTCCTCTAGAGATTATCCATGTAACAGTGAGTGTAAATCTGATGAGGAGAGGCTTCATTTGGTTAAAGATTTTCTCAATGGTACTGTAAAGAGTAAAAGCTACAAATTAATCTTACTGAAAAACAGCATTTAAAATTAGATGTAGATGGTTTAAACATTGCATCATACAATAACTACATTGGGCAGCTTTCATAAGCAATAAATGTGGGACAGCATGGTCTGTGACCTCAGCATATAAATAGTACATATAGCATATTTATATGCTGAGGTCACAGAAACAGTTAAGCTGTACTTCACCTGCCCTGTGGGGCGCCAGGTCCTTAAGGGTACTTTACTTTACTTTACTTTACTTTACTTTACTTTACTTTACTTTACTTTACTTTACTTTACTTTACTATACTTTACTTTACTTTACTTTACTTTACTTTACTTTACTTTACTTTACTTTACTTTACTTTACTTTACTTTACTTTACTTTACTTTACTTTACTTCACTTCACTTTACTTTACTTTATTTTACTGTAATGCTTTAGTTAAGCACAAGATCAATAAAACAAAATTATTGTTTAAAAGTTCTTTTTCCTAATTATCTATTTAATTTTATATTATTTCACTGATGACATATATGCTGTGTTTATTTTTTACCCTTGGAAAACATCTTAGCCAGTGTAAAGTATACAAAGTATACATATACTCACACTTGCTACAATACATGATACAAAAATGTAATGATTATATCCAAGGCTAACCAACTCACAACTTCAAATTCAGCTTCCACCTGTACTATTTTATATTTTATTCTGAAATATTCATGTTTTAGTTACAATTTTTCTCAATGTTTGAACAGATTACTTTTGTGACAATGCTAAGCTCAACCAAACCATCTGTTTTGAGAAAATATTCAATGCCAGTGATTTTTTTGAAAACCCTAAAGATATTGAAGTAGAACTTGCAAAGGTAAATGAAAATATAGATGCTTTTTTCTTTAATAATCTACATTAAATGGTATACAGAATTTTTAAAAATGTAATAAATTTTACAATTGAATCAATAATATTTAATTTATGCTGTTGTAATATCCTTAGGTTGTGGTATTGCTCATTGCAATAGGAGCATTTGGAGATAGCCATGAGCACTTCATCTCCTCAGCAGTTCAACTCCCATCAGAAATGCACCTGGATATAATGGCAATCATCCAGTCAGCCATACCTGTGGATTCTTCCCAGGTGGTTCTCAGTCCACAGATTGAGCAGACCCTCAGGGGAGTTACAGGTAACTAAATACTGTCTTAACCTTGTTACAATTTTACTTTTATGTTGTCTTCTGTGTAAAATTCAGTTTTTGTTGTTGCTTATTTTATAATGTATTAAAATATTTTAATTTTAAAAAACTCATTCAATTAACCGTTTGCATTACTTCCCTTCTAAGGGGAAATAATTCAGTTATGAAATTTTAATTATATTTTTACCGATTATATTAATTTTAACAAATGTTGGTTAACTCTTAAGGTGGATTTTCTGTAGAAAAAAATTATTTTTAAGTAGCTTTGATTATACAATTTTTTTAATCATAAAATTTTGAAATGTAGCTTTCACATCTATGCTACAATTTCCCCCTGTAGGCCTATATAACAAATGGATAGAAATTTTTATGAAGAAATATTTACAATAAAATACTTGATCTGGCCAATTTCTTGGATGTGTTACAGGGTCTAAAAAAGTATATTTAAGTGTTGAAGATACTAAGCTAAAAAATGGAAAAGCTCCTGTGATGAAAAACACTGTCCCTACTGTGAGAGGATCTAACACCTATGAGGAGACAAAGCCTGTAACTCTTTGTACTCAAGAAGTATTTTTAGATACATTTTTTTTTAAATACTTTATTTTAAAACTGTTGATTATAATGACACTATTTCTTGCAGCAAACTCATGTTTTTCTTCCTAAATAAAAAAAACTCCATATCGTCTGCTAATTTGGGTATTCAAATTAAATTGAGCTGAGACAATTGAAAGTTTATTGGTATAAGAAGTTATGCTTTAGGATATTTTCATATTATCTGGTTTTCACTTTCAAATTTGCATGGCAATTCAGTTCATCCCACACCATATAAACAATTTTTCAATTGCACTAGTTACATACCTCTTGTGGGCTAATTATAACTACAAATTTTAAAACAAAAAGTCTAAATAGGGTTAATGATATTTATTGCAATTGCTTGATTACATTAACTTTTTTTTAAAGTTCTGATTTATTTTATTTCCCACTCACTAAAGTTGTCTGGATTAATCATTAAGTTTGTATTTTGTTACATAGAAACCTGTTTCAAGTAAAGACCTAGAAATTAGAGCACTACGTCAGCAGTTAAACAATGAAATATGTTTAAAAGAAGAGTTGCAGTTCCTGCTGCAAGATTATAAATCTGAAGTAATTTTAAAAGGTAAGTAATTAACATTCTGTTTAGTCCTTTAAATTTTTTGTTTCATTTGTATTTGAACCTTGTTTTTGTTTTTAATTATAACTTTTTATATTTACTTGGTTGGATTGCAGATTCTGAGATTATCAGTCTAAGGAAAAAGTTGAAAGAAGTAATTGACATGCAAAATTCCTATGAAGATTTGCAGGAAATGAAACAGAAATATAATCAGTTAGAGTTGAACCTTGACCGGTAAAATGATTATTTTTTTAAAAGTGATAAATATTTCTTATATTTAAAAAAAGATTTATATTATACTTTACATTAAAACCCTTATTACGGTAGGTTTAAAAAAATTAGCCACTAGAAGTTTAAATTAAAATTTAAATTCTCAACTCTATATGCTAAACAGCTTAAACAAAACTGTCCTGACACTTCAACACTACAAAGATTACAGTCTTGTTTTAGAGAAAGAAAATCTCTCTTTAAATGAGGAAATAAGCAAGCTTGAAAAAGAGGTTTGTGGTAATTTCCCATGTAATTTAGGTTCCTCGCATTAAAAAAAATTCATCATTCATGCAATTAAAAGCTAATACAAAGTTTACTTTAAAATGTCTTTAACAGTTTAAGGGGTAAAAAAAATGTTAATATATTTAACCATGTTAAAAATATAAGGAGCTGAAAAATGTATGCCTATCAAAATTCTTTTTTAAAATGTCTTTAAGCAAGATAAAACTAAGCAACAGGAAAAAAAATTGAAAAACCTTAAGTTAACTTGTCTTTTGCAAAGTTAAAAACTGTAACAGGCAGTTATTTTTAAAAATCTAAAATCTTTTTTTAAAGTGTACAATTGAAATTGAAGAAACAAAAAATATTTCTAAAATGTCTTTTGCAAAGTTGGGTTTTAATCTTTGTAAAAATGTGCAATTGAAAATAAATTTTTAAAAATATCTTTTTCAAACAGTAATTTAAAAAGTGTAATTTAAAATGAATAAACAAATTCCTTTAAAATGTCTTTAACCAGGTTAAAACTATGCAGCTAGAGATAAATAAAGCAAGAGACCTGATAAAAATCATTGACAAGCTTGAGAACCAGGTCAAGGTCTTGGAGAGCCAAACAGAGAACATGTATAGATTTAAGCAAGAATGTGAGGAGGTCAAGGTCTCATTAAGAGAAGCTCTAGATGTGAATGAGATGTTGCTGCAGGAAATCCACCAGCTCAAGGATCAAGATAAAGGTGGAAATCTTAATTATTACCACTTGTTATTAACAAATGTTCTTCAACCTTTTAATGTAGTCGTACCTAAATAGTTTTATTGCTGGTGAAAATAAATTAAATTTTAAAATAGAAAACATAAAAATTAGTTTTTTATATAGATTTTTAGTCCATTTTTGTTTAGTTTATATTTTACACTATTTTTAGCCAGCCAAGATGTCAATTCATTAAATTATGTAAAATTATAATAATGAAGGTACATAGAGATTTCTTTCTTTTCAGAAAAAGACTTAGAGGAAACGATGGATTCCTTCATTGAACTTCAGGTAGTTGAGTTAAAACAACAGCTGGAGGAGGTGATGTGTGAAAGAGATGCTTTGAGAAAAGAGTTGTCAGCTTTCAGAGCTAAGCCCTGTGGTATGCAGGGTGGTTTACCATTCAATCAGTTATCTGCCAGTACAGAAATAGAAAACAAAAAGGAGTTTAAAGTTGATGAGAAACATGAGGGTCCATTTAATTGTGGAGTTGTAGAACTGCTTACAGAAATGAACACTGAATTAGAAAAAGAGCTTGACAAAATAAAATATAGCGTGATGAAGATCAATGAATTGTCTCCCATTGGAAAATGGCAGTGCCCAGAAATAAAACAACATAATCTGACTCCTGTACAGAATGAATCGAAAAGAAAATATTTAAACTTTCTAGATGATGAGGTGATTCAGGAAAAGCCAAACTTAAAGAATATTGATGAAGAAATGTCTAGATCTATGTTTAATCTTCATCTGGAGTTCATCAGCTTGAAGAGGATTGTTGAAGAGAGTTTGTTTAAAAATAATGATCTTCAACTCCAGTTTTTTAAATCACTGCAGAAACAAAACAATATTGCTGAGGTTAAAAATAGTGGTCCTAACCCAGAATTTGACTTCATTTCATTACAAAGTACACTTTTAGAAAAGAAACAAGAAAACAGTGATATGATATATTTGTTTTCATTACTTGAAGAGCTGAAGATAGGGTCAAGGTTATCAAATATTTTAAGACAACTAGAGATCAGCATGAAGGATAAAGTGCAATTAGAAGAAAAACATTTTTCTGATTTAACCCCAGTTGGTGTAGTAGATGCTGCCAAACTTTTCTCAATGTTAAAAGAAATTGATAATATTTGCACACAGCTAGAATCCAAAGCTTTGCTCTTAAGTGAGATGAGAGAAAAAGAGAATGTCACTTTGTCAGAAATGGCCACCCAGACAGAGGAAGATTTAAGCCTGTATGAGATCAACATAACAAAATTAGTGGGAACTGACCAGTACAATCTGGCGCACTTGACCCTGTCTGATCCCCAATCTGAAGCTGATGTGTTGAATGATAATGTGTTTACAAGGCTGCCTGGTGATGGTGTGGGAATGGACAATGTATCCCATAAATCAAAGCAAGTTTCACTGGCTACCAGGCAACCCTTGGCCAAGTATTCAGGTAATTGTCAACTTTTTTTTTTTCCTTATTGTAGAAGTAAAAATCATTCAACATAATATTTTAATTAATTTTAAAATGTCATGAACATTATATTTTGGTTTTCACAACTACTTTTATTGAAATACTTATGTATTCAGTCATTGTTACTGATATTGATATGTTAACTACAAAACAGTCCCTTTGCCCAACGCCATGGGTAAAGCTATTCTTTAAAACAATATTACTCTACTCTGTGGTTATAGGTAATTGATGAAACCTCTGTATTTTTACTGCATGTTTGTTGACCATACAATCTTTAAGTAAACAATTTCAATTGCTGTTTATGTTGACAGATGCTGGTAAAAACAACAGATCTTCTAAAAGGTAAAATTAGAAAATATCTCAAATTAATTACATAACTATATTTTTTAGATTGACAATACAATTCTTGATATTATCTAGGTTGTGATATTGTTTTTTAGATTGGAAATACATTTTTAAGTAAGTTTTAATTTATTGTTTAAAATGGTGCTGGGTTTTTGTTGTTTTTTTTTTTTATAATTCTTTTAAACCTTTTACATTGAGGCTTTGAATATTTTCAGAAAAATTAAACAAGTCAGTTTCACCTTCCCTTCGATCGAACAATTTTCATATATTCATCCTAAAAAAGTGTACAGTTTTCTCACGTATGTTCATCTCTCAGGTATGTTCAATTGTGATCTATATTTTAACAATATGTTATATTATATCCAGAATATCTTGTACAAATTGTTTATTTGGATGTGTTTTAATAGATTTGGCATGTTTATTATCAAAATCCCTCAATCCAACCACTGTCACATATTAACAGTCCACCATTAAAATCTCTAGCTTATTACACAACTGCTTCATATTGTGTGGAATCTCTTCATCCTGACTTATCAGGCAATTCAAATTCCTGAACTGTATAGTCAGTTCATATTTATTTTCCCTCTTAACCATTCTCCTCAGTCTACATTAACAAAACCAGTCTCTGCAGATCTAACTTATATCTACTGCAAATTACGAGTTAGCTGGCTGTCCCTCTATTAGATATGCCATTTCCAAGACCATTCCAGGCAACTTGGTCCTAACCTTGTTTCTCTTGTCCAAATTAATTTTATTTATTGTTTATCAATATTGTTTTAAAACAAACTCACCATCAATTTCAAATTATTTTTTCTTACTTTAACTTCACCATAGACACTAGGCATGTCAAAAAGTTCAGGCGTTTGAAACATAAAATTGTTCACAACCAAGAGTCCAATACCAAAAGTCAACCTAGAGGCCTATTGCAAGAAAATCACTTAAATTCAGTGACAGAAGATAAGGTAAACACAAAATATGCTGTACACAATAAAAATAAAATTATAGTTCAGTTTGATTTTAGGGTTTTGATTAATTGTTTCTCTAGGCTTTTTAATATATAAAGCTGTATCTTCTCATTAGGCTGTTGAAATTACCAGCGAGTTAAATTTAACAGAATGGAACATCATCAATGTAGATGAAAGAGATGTTGAATATAACCACAGAAACAACACAACTACAGCCACTTCTCACCAAGAAAATCTTACTCATGTATGTAAAAATTAGAGCGTAATTTAAAAATTGAAAATGTAATTTATTTTTAATAATTAAATCTCATGAATATTGAGGAAACAAAAGTGTAGTAAATTGTTTTTAAAGATAGATTTTCTTTTGAGGAATAAATTATATATTCTTATTTGTTTCTGTTTAGTCAGATAAAAGCATTAGGTCAGAAATTTTTACTGCACTGGGTTTTTTTTTCATTTATCTTACAACCAACTTAGTATAAAACAAAATAGTCTTTCTTTCACAAAATCTTAAGTGTGCTTCAGAACACCTTAAACAGTCCTGTGCTATTTTGCATTTTAAAAATGTTAAATTTGACTTGTTTGTGCTACTTATAAAGTAATTTTATTTTTTCTCAACCAATTTTTTACAGACAGATCTAACTAAGCCTGGAGAATTGGCACCAATGCTGTCTCAACCAACCTCAAAAAGGTCTGGTATAAGAAGGTTTTTTAGCACCAAAAAGAAAAAAGATGCAAGCCCAAAATTAGAACATGCTGCTCCACATTATGATTACGATGTAAGAAATATATGGTTATACACATCTGTTTTGATTAATAGTCTATAGTCCAAACAACAATGTTGGAAATATAATGTTATACAATATGACACATCTGTTGTGATTAATAGTAATAGTCTATTGTCCAAACTGTGTAAGAAATGTTCAAAATTTGTTGGATTAATTTTAAAAAATGTATACCTGTCTTTTATTCAATAACATGTTTATATTTTGTGTATGACAAGACAGTATAACTTACTTTTTACTCTTCTTTATATAGGATTTGTTTTTCCCATGGCCATCACTGTTATTTTATTTCCTGGGTGGATGGTGACATAGTACATAGATCTGAGTAGGTATGGCATTTAATTTTTTGTTGCCTGAGTAGGTATGGCATTTTATTTTTTTGTTGCCTGAGTAGGTATGGCATTTTATTTTTTTGTTGCCTGAGTAGGTATGGCATTTTTTTTTTTTGTTGCCTGAGTAGGTATGGCATTTAATTATTTGTTGATAAGTATGGCATTCAATTTATTTTTCTATATGATTTGTATAGTCAATCTAGTTAACATTATTAATATAATATACGAGCCGACCCGCAGCGTATCATACGCCGCTATTTAGTTGTTTTATTTTCTACTTTTCAGTAATTCCTAATTTGTGAATTCGACAGTACCAATGCTGCCAATGAAAATATTTGCTTTAAAACACTAACCCCCCCCCCCCCTTTTCCCCTAACCCCGACCCTACACCCCCCCCCCCCCCGTGAAAGCAGCCTCCTCTTAGTTATTTCTTAGTTACCTCGTGTAAGTTTAAAATCGAACTAAATTATCTGCCCCTAATAGAAACCCGGCTCTACGGCTCTACGATTTGTAAACATTTAGCTTTGTAAACATTTAGCGTGACCACAGCTCACCGGACAATGTGGGGGTGGGGTGGGGGTGGTAGTGATAGTGATAGAGAGAAAGAGAGGGGACTGCAAGGAGGCGCTTGCAGCTTGTTTTCTAATGGCTCCCAGAAGAGAATTATATATAAAGATGTGTATATAATGTATTAATATAATATATGTATAATATTTCTATAATTGAAAATTTTTTTTCCATGTTTGCAGATAAAAAAGAAAATAGGACTGGGGTATCTGGAGGCTCTCATAAAAATAGTGTTTAAATATTATTGGAAAATTGTTTTAAACTTTTTTTAGTTTTAACAAGTCTCACAGATTTTTAGGTAATTATTTTCGAAAGTTTTTTTTTTTGTATGCACATGTTAATATTGAGATACAGGGGCTCAAATTATATAGCTTGGTTAACAATATGTAAGCAAACCTTAAAAATGACATGCTTATGAATATTGTGAAAAGAACTTCAAAGCATATCTGAACTATTCTACTCTTGAATTTCAGCATAATTTAATGTTTAGATTGAACCTTAAATGTTTTAAATGTAGGCATTGGTATAATTTGTAAAAAAAAAAATTAGCATTATTTTAACAGAGTTGTTTTAATGTTCAATTTTAATTTGCCCTTGTTTTTAAATTATGCACAATATATTTTAGAATTTTTTAGACATTGAAATGCTTTAGACAATTGAAAGAATGAATAGTATTGTTCATGAATTATTCCTTTTTTTAGGCCTGTATTAGTATATTTTAGTATTAATATTTTAATTTAAGATGTATTTGTGGTAAACAACTTAACTGTATTAACATACGTTAGATGGCAAATATTAAAGCAATTCAATGTGATACAGCACAAATAAATTCAAAGTACAAGACAGAAAATCCTAGATTTTTTATTGTTTGTGTTTACAAAACCATTCCAATCACAAACAAGTTCCAGCTGATTGCAAATCTATAATAACTTGGGATGAGTGCTAGATCTAATAATACTCATTGATATCTGTTTAAAAAACAATACATCACTAACAATTACATAAATAACATGATGCTACTCATCGATATCACTATTAAATTATATTCTCTACGTAGCAAAAGATCAGGTATTTTTACAGAGAAAGTGTAAGATCTGTACATTAGAAAAACTCGTATGATTTTATAAGGGAAGCAAAAATCTGAGTGTTGGTAAACCATAAATAAAAATAGAAATTAGGAAAAATAATAGTTAAAAACTGTTAAAAATAAATTAATATTTACACTAATTTCATATCATAATTTATGAAGGTTTTTACAAATGTACATAACAAAAATGCATCCGACTGCAACTCTAAAAAAACAAGTTTGAGACTAGCAAATAATACATAATTTACTTTAGTAGTATCTGGAACTAAATATAACTTGATTCAACCCCAAACATCATACTTTAGTTGAGCATAGTTTTTAAAAAAAACTTTCAAAAATTTACAGTTAAAATGTTACCAAAGTTTTCATTTAAACGTTTAAAATATACAGTAGCCAAAATGCTACTTAAGTTCTTATAAAACTGTGGCATCTGATTTTCTATACTGTACATTACACATGCCATTTACATAAATCCAGATTATGGCTCTACTAGAGGTCATTGCTATTTACACTGTTAAAACATCTGTACACAAATATACAAAAACCGGTGCTGCTTGTTTATATGCCTGTTTCCAAGAAGTTTCTTATTCCAAGAGGCTTTCGATTTTTCTGCAACAGATTGAAAAATGTGTAGAAGTTATTTTTCTGCAACAGATTGAAAAATGTGTAGAAGTTAATAAACATACATGCAAATATTCATGATTTTTGAGATACAAATTCTTTTCTAAAACTTGATAAAATCACTAAGAAAGTTTCATTGAAATTTATATTAAATGTTACAATTTAAACCCTAATGGGATAAAAGTTCAATATTAAAAGCTTAAAAGATGTTAGAAGTGCTTTTTATCACAAATGATTGCTGTTAAGTACATATAGCTATTTAACATAACATACATGCACAAAAACATGCCTTATTTAAAAAAAAAAAATTTCATATTAACAAATTGTTTTAATGTAACTTGTGTAGAAATGTATTGTTATTGTTAGTATTAAACTGCTTTGTTTAAAAATTTGCTTCATTAAATGTAGGCCCTATTGTTATTTTTTTTTTTTTAAGAAATGCATCCCAAATTTCAAAAGTAAGAGTTGCTAGGAATAATTAAAATATATAAAATCGAAATAATGTGTTCATTTTTAAAAGACTGTTGTTTTTTTATAATGGCAAACATTTACTTTTAATTGGTTCAGTAGCTTCATCAAAACAGGTTAGTGAACCAACATTAGTATAATTAAACTGTTAATCAAACTAGCTGGCATGTCATAACCTTAAAGATTTTAAAAAATCAGCCTATAAGAGACTGCATACCATTTATTCCTGAAACTCCAGGGCTTGTGCCTAAAATTAATCAGGATATAACAGAAGCAGCACAGTAATGCTCCATGTGTGTACAAAATGTTGCAGTGTGAAATGGCTATACTAGGGTGTACAAGCAAGCATCAGGCCTTTGTTAACTGTCTTATTAAACCTACATCATGTTTTTGGTAGCCTGGTAAATCCAATCATGCGCTCAAATACAAAACAATGCATAGTGTGTCAGTGAAAATGTTTTGTGATTGGAATGGCTGAGATATATATATACAGCTCAGATAGACCAAGGTCTAACAAAAAAAAAATGGACATTAAATCTACTAACCTTAAGTATTTTTGCCAGTTAGAATAAATGTTTGATAAGAATTAACAATGACCTGACTAGCCAAAATGTTTTATTAAACTAATAAAAAGATATTTTTAAACAGTCTAAGCTAATCCAAAATAATTACTATTATAAAAAGAATTCAACTGCACTTAGTGCAAAATAAAATAAATATATACATTTATAACAACAGGATTCATAAAAATGTGACTTTGGCTTTCTTTTTATCAGCTAATGGTGTGACTTTATTATGTGGCCTCAGGCCATGAATAAGTTTCTTATGAAAGGGGGTTTTAGGACTCTGGCAGTGAATCATTCCTTTACCCTGGGTTTGTGTGACAGGTGTTTTCTTTATGCCCTTATGTTTCTTGGGTGACTTCAGCTTTACTGGCGAGGTGAGTTTACGTTCAGTGTTTACTGCACTGGGAATGACCCTTGGTTGTGTTGGTTCAAGCATTTCCATAATTTTGGACTGACCAGGATTATTATCAAAATAGGACTGGACCATTAAACCAGTGATGTCAGACATGTTTGATTTGTTGGCATCCTTTAATTGATCCATTAGGTTGGTGTTGATATTGGGTGCGGTACCGTGTTTCTCCACTTGCTTAGCTGTAGCAGTGACAAAGTCATTGAGGCTAGTTTTTTTACCATGGAAGCTGAACTTTGAGGAGGGTAACTGTAAATTTGGTTGCTCAAATTTAGCCCGAAGTTGTGAGACACTACTCTTTTCCATTGTTTCTCGTCTTGGGAATGAGAGGGGTTTCACTTCTGTTTTTTCTGCGGACCAAGTGCTTTGAGTTTCAGCTTTCTTTAGATGGAAAGCTTTTTCCATAAATTTTGTAAACTTTGATTTCTTTTTGAGATGAGTATTTTCTTCTTCAGCACATGCTGGTAACGCTTCTTTCTTTCCATCAGGTTCTAGAATTAACTCTTCTGGCATTAAGTTTAATTTCATTGTGACGCATGCTTTATCTTCACCACCTCCTACCAACATTTTACTTTCAGATTCTAAAATTCTCTCTTCAGTCTTGAAGTTTATTTTCTTTCTGAGTGGTGATTCATTTTCATTTTTTTCTGTGCGATCCTTTCTTTCTGTTGAGTTTAGAACTTCTGTGTTACCACCAACTTGAATCAAGCCAGATGTCAACTTACAGCTGTCTATAGCTATGACTGCATCTACTCTAGAAAACTCAAGCTTTCTTTTCCTTGGAGGTAAATGTTTACTCTTTGGGTTAACTGGTGTATCAGAGTTAACTTTTTCATTGCTTGATGTCTTCATGGGTATCCCAGGCACTCGTACATCACGTAAATCATTCTCAACTCGACCACTTTTGTTGATACAGTTTAAGGCCCCTTTGTTAAAATCGTCAAACCGTAATGGTTTGATCCCAACGACAACTTCAAAATTTGTTTTCACCACGTCACCATCTGCTAGTAAATCCCCACTCAACTCAGTGTTCACATGCTTATGACTTGGGGTTTTGTCTATATTTTTCACTAGTTCAACTGGCAATTTTTTAACATTCAAATCTCCCTTCAACAAACTATTTCTATTATCACAATATTCACTGCTAGTCCTATCGTTAGCTTCATGCTTGTTACAATTGACATTAGTCACAACACAAAAGCTTTCAACCATTTTATCCACAGTGGTAAAGGAAGGAACATCCATTTCAATATCGGTCACATTGCAATACATAGAACCAAACTCCACACACAGTGATGACGGCTCATCTGGCTCCCCTAGGGTACTAACCTGTGGCTCTTTGTGTTTCTGATCTTGCTGAGCTGGCTCTGCAGGAACTACCTTACTACTGCCTTTGCTCTTAGAGCCAAATATGGTTTTCTGTAGGAATCTTTTTGGTCCACTACTCTTCATTGGTGTGAAACCAATATTAAATGCAACACTTTCTCTGCGCTAAATATATAAATGATATTGTTAATGAGCAATGAAATAATAATTAAGGCAATAAACATTTAGTATCTATTTTATAAAGAGGTATAAATACAGGTATTATAAACAGTATACAAATTTTGAGACGCTACTTAAAAAATAAAAATTACTTGCTCTGATAAAAATTATTCTAGCAAATACTGAATTGTTAACGTTTTAGCAAATATAAAAAAAAAAAATAATAAAGCAACTTACATCACTTTCACTAATAGTTTTGGGTGATGCATTCTGGTTAGCAAATCTAGGTGATCGCCGAGGTGTCCTTTTGTTTGGAGTGTGGCGTGGGTTTGGTCGGGCAATGGGCGACCCAAGAGCCTTGATCTTCCCGTTCATTGAAGGAGAGATGCCGTGGGAGGGCGTGAACCTGCCAGATATTCTCCGTGGCTGCTTCCCTGGTGTAGGTGGGCCAGGTCTCTGGTAAACAGGGGCTGTGCGCAGCTGTGGAAGTACAAATACAGTTTTAATTCACTAAAATATATTTATTTTAACATTTAATTTTTTTTTTTTAATTGTATTGATGTACCATACGCTGTAAAAATATGGTAGGTTAGATTTCATTTAAAAGCATTGTTAATAAGTGGAGTAGTGGCTCCTAGTACATAAGGAAATAATAAAAAGCCACTATCTCTATTCTTTCTTATAATTTACATTTTTAAATAATGTTTAAATAAAAAACATGTATGGATGAAACATTTGAGAAAAACTTTTAGAAAACGTATACAAGCTAATAATGTATGCAACACAAATAATAATTAGCTGTACACATTTTTTACAAGTGTGTGTACAAGATGTTTTAAAACATTTCCTTTGAGCCAAACTACATAGTGCCTACACAGCATGTTATCTATGGCATTTGGCTGAATTTCTACTACATTTAGCTACTAAAGCTAACTAAGTGTACAAAAAAGCTTTTAGACAAGTACAGAAAGTTTTAGCTATAGTGCATAATAATCAATATGTGGTGAAAATGTATGCCAACAAGAAATACAAATGTTAGTTTTTTTTTTTTAAAAACAGCCTTATAAAAGCAAGAAGCTCAGTAGCAAAAGATTGCAAGAAGTTTTATAAATAGTTTATACACCAGGGGAAGTAACTATTTTCAGTTAACTCTTGTTTTAAGTATACATTTAATAACATGTAATTTACTGTATTGTTTTTATTTGAAGGAAAAAAATGTATGGACATAATCATAATCATGTTACAGGCTGATCCCTATTGAATAACACATGGGTTGTCTCCCCTATTCAGCAGTTGTTTTTTATGTTTTTTGAATCCCAATATTTTTACATTTTAATTGTTAGTAGTTAAACAGTGATTTTATCCAAGGCACCATTAATAGAGTAATCTACATCTTAAACCTTTTAAAAGATTTATTATATTTTTAATATACGTTGGCAACTTTCCTGTGACAAGTGATCTTGAAGACAAGACAATCAGCATAGGTAACTGATTGAATAAGAACTACCAATTGCAAAAGAACTAACTAAAAGCACTAAATAAATTAGAATATACACAAGCTTCAACACTAAAGCTGGCCTCTATAGGCTGAATGTAAATTTATGTACCACTGGGTAGAAAACTATTGTGTTAGGAGAAACATCTGATTTCCTCTGAAAGAAAACACATAGTATTACAATTCATGTGATGTGCAATTGTACAGTGGAGGTTTTGTGGTTAGTTCCCTGATCTCACTTGTATAATTGTAGTTTCACAAGGTAAACATTAAACACTGCCAACATTTTGTCCTTTAAGAGCTTGTGTGCTGTTAGCTAAGAGCTTGTGTGCTCTTAGCTAAGAGCTTGAGTGCTCTTAGCTATTAGTTTAGTCAGGATAAAATGAGCACCATAATAGATGATATTTGAATCATTTTGACTCACTTTCAACATTTTTTTTTACAATTTCTAAAACCAAAAATTTAAAGAAAATACATAAAAGTGTTGTTATTTAACTTTTTAAAAAAGTAAAGAATTAAACATTACCTGCTTTGGAGGGCTTTGCCCTGAATTCTCTTCACTGGGTTGTTTAGCTGGTACTTTCCTCTTAGAAGTTGTATTATTAGCATCATGCTTTTGGTCTCCTTGCTTTGAAGTTCCACTTTCCTTTTCTTTTTTAGAATGTGTATGTCTAGCAGGGCTTACCTAAAAATGAGTAGAAAATATCCCAGATATTTTTTATTTGGCTCAGTCAAATCTGTTCAGAATTTGGTGAACTGTTTGTTTCTTTTTCAAATGTAGTACAGTTTAGTCATTTTATACATACATTTTATTATAAACTTTGTTCATAAAAAACTGGTAACTATATGATATAGTATCTCAGTAGCATACAGCACATATCACAGCCAAGATAAGCTTCTTAAATAGTGATGTATAACTAATTGGTTGCACTGTAGGACGCACAACTTAAAGATTTGAGTTCAGATCCGGAACCAAAATCTTTTAGGATGCTCCTCACTCCACCCAGCTCTGATGGATACCAGACCCACATAAGGAAAGTGAAGGCAGCTGGGCATAGAACTGACCACACTATCACTTCATATGCCAGGGTAACAGAACCACAAACTCTACTACATCTGCCATATTTACTACAATGTCGAAATAGGTTTTATTGGATATATTAAACAATATATAAGTATTATTTATGTATTATATATATTAAATAATTGCAAGAATCCTTACTCTTTTATTAGGCAAGAGACTCATTCTTAAATTATCATCGGTGATCTTATCCTTCCTGACTGCCTGCATCTCCACAGGGTAGGCCGACTTCATGTGGGGAGGATACATTGTGTTTCTACGCTGCAACTCACTCAGCCTGTCCCACTCAAAGTCAGGACCCTCCGGCTCATTGGCGCAGGACATTATGGCGTTTGGAAGAAAAGCTCCTGCATGAAAAAAAAAAATTAAATATTGAACCAAACCAAAACCATGTCAGAACTAGCATTTATTTTTTGTTAAATGATACTTTATAAACAATATAAGTCAATAAAAAAATATTTGGAAAACAACTTCAGTTTAAAAGAAACAAAACATTTTAGAATTTTATTTCTATTTTACCTAAATAAATGACATTACATTTAAAAAACCCATGAAATAAGAAACATTTGTTTTAATTAAATACTGACCTGGTACACCATTTAATGATTTGATAGATTGTGACGAGGAGGTAGAGCAAATACTCATACGATCTTCTGTTTGCCGCAGTTTTCCACTGGGATATTTGTCTTTTAATTCTCCTAAGCTGGCCATTGTTTCCCTGGGTAAAAATTGATTTTTACTTAGCATAAATTAAACATGAGAAATTAGACTTGTTTTTCTTTTAACTAAGTTTTATTTTGAAATAGATGGAACAGCTGGAAAACAAAATTTGCATCACATCCCCCTCTACAGTACATTCAAAAATTTAATTTTATTACATTTTTTTTATTTATGTACCTCTTCGGGTTCAGCCTTTCAGACGAGATTGTTGTGTCGTTGGGATAGGAGTACAAGCTCTCACCACCTGTGGAAAGATCATACAACTCTAAAACATTTCTGATACAAATCAATGTCAGTAACTTTAGAACCCATGGGACAGCATGATTGTGAGGTTATTTTAGCCTCATCATTCATATTTTGTCTCAGTTGTTGAAAATTAAGTAATGACAGCTACGTAATGAATGCTGGATCATGTATTTGTTTTTTAAACTGCTGGTGAGTAGGTTTATAATTATTTTTTAGCAATTTTGTAGAAGACTTATGATAAACTTGTACAGCTTGGAAAGTAAATAATTGTCTTTATTATATTTAAAGGAATGGACCTAAATAGGTTTAAGTAATAATAAATAAAGTAATGTGCTTTTATTACAACTTATAGCTCACATCAAATTTATACTCATGACTAAAATCTAACCTTGTTCAATCTCATTCAAAGCACAATACTTAATAATTGTTACTGATAAGCCATGTTAAGCCACCACTAAATATTTTTTGGACAATTAAGTTTTAATCTTTTAAGGAAAAATGCTTTAGGTGAGCCCAGACTAGACTATTTACATAAGATTTTTTACATACATAAGTGTATTAAATAACTACCTGAAGATAATCTGGAATTTGAGCGCAGCATTCTACCAGAAATAACAGGTTCTTTGATTTCAATAGAATCTTCTAAACTGTCACATTCTGTAATATTCAAAATTTTCCTTAGTCATAATACATAGGGAAATTGAATTTAATACATTTGTCAAGAAAATATAAAGAAGTGTAATTAAAATATAAACCAGTTAAAAAAAAGCTTCTTAACATTATTCAATTAAAAAAACTTTTAAATTAAGGGCTTAGAAAAATATTAAAAACACCAACAGAATGCAATCATAGTATTAATTGGTTGGGCATTCTACACACCCTGCCAAACAATACAATATAAACTGCCAACCACACTATACCCAACCCAATGGTGCCGAAGCAAAATTTCTCAGAAATAAAAATATAATATATACAGCCAACTACACTATACCCAACTCAATGGTACCAAAGCAAAGTCTCCCAGAAATAAAATACAATATATACAGCCAACCACACTATACCCAACCCAATGGTACCAAAGCAAAATTTCTCAGAAAAAAAAATATATATACAGTACAGCCAAATACAATGTACCCAACCCAATGACACCAAAGCACATATCATGTGATTACCTTCCTCTTCAATAATTTGCTGGAAATGAGAGGCATCCCCCAGCAGAGCAGTGCCAGCCTGGTCCAGTTGGTGCTGGTATTCTCTCAGCTTTCTGTCACTGTAGTCTAATGCTGTTTTCAGCCTGTTCACCTCAGTAGCTTTAAAAATAATGTATTTCATTTTAGTTGGGGTTTTTATACTGTACAAATAATCTGTACTACGATATGGTCCATAATAATAGATAAAAGTAGAAAATATATGGACTTGAGAAAAATTGGTTGCAAACCAAAACAAAATACATCTAAACTTACTTGACGTGGTGAATTTATAGTACAAATGTTGCCCTCTTTAATTGGAACTGCCTCTAAAACCTATTTTGTAAGTTGCAATTTCACTACCTCTTTACTAAAGTGATGACATGCATAGTACTCTTTCTACAAAAGCCCAACTTACCATATAATTTATTTTCCTTCTGCATGTTTTCATACTTGAGTTGTATCTCTCCTAATTTTGAGGCTTGACCTTCCATACGTTTTTGCATCTTCATATTGGTATCTCGTTCAATTTTCAGTGCATTAGACAGGCGGGTATTAGTTTCCTTCATATTTTGTACATGTTGCTCTTGACGTTTAGAAATTTCAGTAAAATTCTTGGACTCATTTTCTTTGTCTTCCAGCTATTAAAGAAATATAATTATAATTGAGTCATAATATATAAAATAGAACTATAAATTCTATCCATTGTTAAGCTAAAATAAGCATTTATAAGTCATACTAGTGCTAACTAAAAATTATTTTTTTAAAGAAAAACAACCTTTTTTTTATATTCTTCAATTTGTCTCCTTAAATCATTACAGAACTCGTTTGCTTTCTTCATCTGTGAGTCACTTTCCTTCAAATGTTTACTTTCTCTGTCTCTGAGTGCCGTGTTTTCTTCAACTGCTGACCTGTACTTTGTTTCTAACTGGCTGTTTTGGACCTGGATGAAAAAATATTTTGTAAATAGTAAAAAAAATTTTTTTTAAACTGGCTTTTACTTGTCAGAACTAGAGGGGGGCAACCTGAGTAATGTTTCTAAAACCAAGAATATGATGGCTCCAATGTCAGTTAAACTAACAAATATATATATATTCAACGCATGTTTCTTCTTCTTCTTCTTCGTCCTTAATTTTTAGTGTTGGGAGGGATCGAGCCTTATCTGCCAGATGGTTTGAACTCGAGACTTTTTTCGAATTTATCAACCATGAGCTTTTGCCGACTCGACCATGCTTCCATCACAATTAGGGATTACGTGTCAACTGGTTATGCGCCATTGAGGCCATTGACTCCGATTTCGGCCTGTTTTTCTTTTTGGATTTGCTTCCATAGCCTTTGTCCAACCAAGAACAAACTACAAGGCAGCAGTTGTTTGATTTTGGAGTTGTCTCTCCTAGAAGAGTAGTTGTCCCCAGCTAACGAGCCTCATCTGCCCGAGGGTTCGAACTCGAGACTTTTTGGTTTAGCAACCATGAGCTTTACTGACTCGACCACGCCGACCCCAACGCACGTTTTTGATCCACATGTTTCTGATCCACTAGTGTGTTTTTTCTATTTAAAGCATGTTTTATATTTTAGGATAGAACATGGCAAATGTTACCATAAAATATTCTAATTTTGACTTGTACTCTTTCTCTTCAATTTTAACTTGCTGCAATGTGCTAGCCATTTCAGCCATTTTCTCTTCATAAATAGCTATTTGATTGTACTGTTGAAGTCTGAGGTCTTCCAGTTCATGGAGATATTTGATCTCATCCTAAGGAGGGGAAAAAATTATTTCAATTTGTGTTTGTGCATCTCTTTCAATAGGAATCCAAAATAGCATAATAAATGTAAATGTTCTTTACGATAAATATATGTTGATGTGATCTATCTACTAGCATCCCTAAAAAAACTGAAAGCCTGACCACCCTGTTTCACAACTTCCACAACTAAGTCAGTTTTAAGAAGTAATGGCTCAAAAAATATCTCTGTTAAAGGAAAGAGTTTGTAGATAGAAGGGATGATAGAAGTTAATTTCAAATTAACTGTGATAGTCAAGTAGTGAATATATATTTTGCAATGGAAGATTTTAATACATTTTTACAGACCCAAGGTATGAAATGAAGTATTTAAAACAATGAATGCATACCTGAAGTTTCTTCTCATATTTTATTTTCCAAGAGGTGACCTGCAAAAGTTTTAAAGATTAAGATGAAATAACATTTTATTATTACAATACATCTTTCGTACTAGTATGCTTATATAAAGTGAATATATTTGTATTCTTTGAATAGTCAGGGGATCTAGCAAACTAGAACGTAATTGCTACACAGCAAATAACTTTTTTTTTCCTTTTCAACAAGTTCTTTAATTTATGACAAAACCATGTATATTCATGCAAGGAGCCACATGTGGCTAGATTATACAGACTAGAACCATATGAGTATAAGAACTCACCTCTTGTTCTAAAGCGTCAGTTTGTGCAGCTTTGAGTTCATGAAGTTCATTCAACTGGATGTCAAACTCAGCTTTCTGCTGGGAGAGGGCTTTCATCTCTGATTCTTTCGCTGCCTCAAACTGAATGCGCAAATCTTCCAGCACGTTTCCTGTTTTTTCTTTAACCAAAGCAATTTCTGCCTCTTTCTCTTCTTTCAATGTTTGAAGAAGCTGCTTCAACTTTTCATTTTCTTCATTTTTCTCAGATTTCATTTCTTCCAACAGCTCCATAGCTTTGACACTTTCTTCTGTTTTTTCCTTTAAACTGACCACATAATCGGCAATTTTGTTGGTTAAGGAAACAATCATTTCCTCTTTCTCTGTAATGGAATCTTTCTGTTGGTTAAGACTACATGTCAGGACAGCTAGTTCAGAATCCTTCTGCAAAGAGACTGATCTTTCTATTTCAAGTTCTTCTTCCAATTTAGCCTTCTGTTGTCTGAGTTCTGATAATTCTAGCCCATTTTTCCTTTCAATGGACTCTACATGCTCATGCACATGAATGACTTCCTCCATTTTGGACTGTAGATCAAATTTCAAAATAGCTATTTCAGAACGCAGGGATTCTATCAAATTATCCTTCTCAATGCCTTCTTCCTTCTCCTTATCTAGATTTGCCTTCATTTCCAACATTTTACAGTTTTTATCTAGCAGTTCAGCAGTGAGCTCTTCCATTTTCAAACTGATTGAGACAATTTCATTATCTTTTTCTCTCAACTCTTCAGCTTGCTGTGTTGCATTTGACCTCAGCTCAGATGTTTCTGACTCTTTGTTAAGAAGAGCCACTTCTGTTTCTTGTAGTTTAGCAATCACAGAGGTCAATTTGTCATCTGTTTCTTGTAGCTTAGCAGTCACTGAGGTCAATTTGTCACCAAGTGTTGATACTTCAATTTCACAATCTGATTTTAGAGTGCTGAGCATTGCTAGCGCTTCAGCTGCTTCCTCTGTTTTTAACTGAAGAGCTGAGGACATTTCCAAGAGCTGGTCATTCAAGTTGGAAACTAACTCCTCCAGCTTTTTATTATCATCAACTTGTTGTTGCAAATCTAATTTAACTGTGTTAACCTCTGAAGCTGCCTGATCCTTCAATGTAGCAAAGGTCACTTCCTGTTCTGCTTTCAGTGATTCAATAACTTCCTGTTCTGCTTTCAGTGATTCAATAACTTCCTGTTTTTCAGAGATTTCTTGGATTCTCTGTTGGAGCATGGCCTTTATTTCAGAGATTTCTGACATCAGTGACTCGACAAGATTGTCTTTACTTTCCACTTCTTGAGCCTGGAGTTTTAGAGCAGTTTGGAGATCCTTGATTTCAGATTCCTTGTTTTGAAGAAACTCAGCTTTGACATTCAAATCATCAAGAGTTGTACTTAACTTCTCTTCCGCTTGAGACAACTTTTTCTCATTTTCAAACTTCAGGTTTGCAACCAGTTCATTAGAGTGCATTATTTCAAGTTCTTTCTGCTGCAGAGTGATAGTTAGTTCATCCATCTTGGAACTTAAATCAACCAAGTTGACATCTTTCTTCTCCAAATCTTCAGATTTCTCAAGAACCTCAGATTTCAACTGAGAAATGATTCGTTCTGATTCTTGAATCTCTTCAGATTTCTTAAGAACCTCAGATTTCAACTGAGAAATTATTTGTTCTGAATCTTGGATCTCTTCAGATTTCTCAAGAACCTCTGATTTCAACTGAGAAATGATTCGTTCTGATTCTTGATACTCTTCAGATTTCTTAAGAACCTCAGATTTCAAATGAGAAATGATTCGTTCTGATTCTTGAATCTCTTCAGATTTCTTAAGAACTTCTGATTTCAACTGAGAAATGATTTGGTCTGAATCTTGGATCTCTTCAGATTTCTTAAGAACCTCAGATTTCAACTGAGAGATGATAAACTCAAACTCATGCATAGCTTTTTCTTTGTCCAAAATAATGGTATCTTTTGCACTCATTTCTTCATCTTTGATTTGAATTACTAGTCTCAGTTCACTAGTCTGACTAGTTAATCTATCAATTTCAGCTTTCTTTTCATAAACAGACTCTGAGAGATTCTTGATTTCTTCCTGTTTAGACTCAAGCTCGGCTGAAATGGACTCTTTCTCAAGGGAAACATTCTTAATGACTTCCGCTTGCTTCTGTATTTCTACAAGCTTTGTGTTTAGCTCAGTTTCTAAAGAGGAAATCTGTTGACTGCATTTCTCTTTGTGAAGTTCAGCTATTTCTGTTAATTTAGTAATCTCATCAGACTGTTCTTGACACTGGGCAGCATATTCAGTAACTTTATTATCTAAAGAGCTCAATAAATTATCTTTATCTTCACTAACCTCCCTTTCTTTGTTTAGTTCTAACTTTAGTTTGCTAATGTCAGACTCTTTTTCCAGCAAGTCTGCTTTTTGTGAATCAATGAGCTCTGTTAAGCTACTGACCTGTCCATTCAGACTGGACAGTGCCTGACTATTCTCAGCTTTCATGGCTTCCAACAACTCCTGGACTTGACAGCTATCTTCAGTTTTTTGTTGCATTTCTGATTTCAAAGCCACAATTTCAGATTGAAGGGACTCAATAAGAACAGTTTTTTCAGCAATGTCAACAGTTTTCTGTTCAAGGCAAGTTCTGACTTCTAAGATTTCAGCATCTTTTTCTTGAAGGGCATGATCTTTTCGCAAGGTATCGTCTTCAAATGTTTCAATTTTTAGTTGCATATCAGATTCGAGAGAAGCGATTTTGGATTGAAGGGATTCAATGAGAACAGCTTTTTCAGCATTGTCAACAGTTTTATGGTCAAGGCAAGTTCTGATTTCTAAGATTTCAGCATCTTTTTCTTGAAGGGCAAGATCTTTTCGCAAGGTATCATCTTCAAACATATTAATTTTGTGTTGTATATCGGATTCCAGAGAATCAATTTTGGACTGAAGAGATTCAATAAGAACAGCTTTTTCAGCAATTTCAACAGTTTTTTGTTCAAGGGTAGTTTTTACTTCTAAGATTTCAGCAATGTTTTCTTGAAGAGCAAGATCTTTCTGCAGGATGTCATTTTTTAGAGTTTCCACTATTTCCTGGACTTGGCAGTTTTCTTCATCTTTCTGTTGTGTGTCTGATTTCAAATCTGTAATTTTGGATTGAAGAGATTCAATAAGGACATCTTTTTCAGCAATCTCAACAGTTCTCTGTTCAAGGCAAGTTCTCACTTCTAATAGTTCAGCATCTTTTTCTTGAAGGGCAAAATCTTTTTGTAAGGTATATCCTTCAAATGTTTCAATTTTTAATTGCATATCAGATTTGAGAGTAGCAATTTCAGACTGAAGGGATTCAATAATAACATCTTTTTCAGCAATGTCAACAGTTTTTTGTTCAAGGCAAGTTCTCACTTCTAATAGTTCAGCATCTTTTTCTCGAATGGCAAGATTTTTTTGCAATGTATCATCTTTAAATGTTTCTTTGACAAGACAGAGTTCTTCAATTTTCTGTTGCATTTCTGATTTCAAAGCATCTATTTCAGCATCCTTTACCTGAAGAGCAAGTTCTTTCTGAAAGTTGACATCTTTCAAAGTTTCCTGACTTTGGCTGAGTTCTTCAATTTTCTTTTGCATTTTTGATTCCAGAGAAGCAATTTCAGATTGAAGGGATTCAACAATGACAGTTTTTTCAGAATAGTCAACAGTTTTTTGGTCAAGGTTAGCTCTGACTTCTAAAATTTCAGCATTCTTTTCTTGAAGAGCAAGATCTTTCTGCATGATGTTGTCTTTGAAAGTTTCCACTAATTCCTGCAGTTGGCAGTGTTCTTTAATTCTCTGTTGAATGTCGAATTTCAAAGCTTCAATTTCAGATTGAAGAGATTCAACAACGATATCTTTTTCAGTAATTTCAACAGTTTTTTGTTCAAGGTTTGTTTTGATTTCTAAGATTTCAGCATCTTTTTCTTGAAGGGCAAGATCTTTCTGTAAGATGTCGTCTTTGAGAGTTTCCTGGACTTGGCAGAGTTCTTTAATTTCCTGTTCCATATCAGATTTCAAACCTGAAATTTCAGCAACCCTTTCTTGAAGAGTAAGATCTTTCTGCAAATTGTTTTCTTTGAGACTTTCCACTAATTCTTGGACTTGGCAGAGTTCTTCAACTTTCTTTTGCATGTCTGATTTCAATGCGGCAATTTCAGACTGAAGGGATTCACTAAGAATGGCTTTTTCAGCAATGGCAAGATTTTGTTGGTTGAGGCTAGTTCTTAGTTCTAAAAGATCAGCATCTCTTTCTTGAAGAGCAAGATCCTTTGCCTGAAGACCTTCTGAGCATTGTTGGATTTCAGATTTCAAAGCATCTATTTCAGCATCCTTTACCTGAAGAGCAAGTTCTTTCTGAAAGTTGACATCCTTCAGAGTTTCCTGGCTTTGGCTGAGTTCTTCAATTTTCTTTTGCATTTTTGATTCCAGAGAAGCAATTTCAGATTGAAGGGATTCAACAACGACAATTTTTTCAGAATTGTCAACAGTTTTTTGGTCAAGGTTAGATCTGACTTCTAAAATTTCAGCATTCTTTTCTTGAAGAGCAAGATCTTTCTGCATGATGTTGTCTTTGAAAGTTTCCACTAATTCCTGCAGTTGGCAGTGTTCTTTAATTCTCTGTTGAATGTCCAATTTCAAAGCTTCAATTTCAGATTGAAGAGATTCAACAACGATATCTTTTTCAGTAATTTCAACAGTTTTTTGTTCAAGGTTTGTTTTGATTTCTAAGATTTCAGCATCTTTTTCTTGAAGGGCAAGATCTTTCTGTATGATGTCATCTTTGAGAGTTTCCTGGACTTGGCAGAGTTCTTTAATTTTCTGTTCCATATCAGATTTCAAACCTGAAATTTCAGCAACCCTTTCTTGAAGAGTAAGATCTTTTTGCAAATTGTTTTCTTTGAGACTTTCCACTAATTCTTGGACTTGGCAGAGTTCTTCAACTTTCTTTTGCATGTCTGATTTCAATGCGGCAATTTCAGACTGAAGGGATTCACTAAGAATGGCTTTTTCAGCAATGGCAAGATTTTGTTGGTTGAGGCTAGTTCTTAGTTCTAAAAGATCAGCATCTCTTTCTTGAAGAGCAAGATCCTTTGCCTGAAGACCTTCTGAGCATTGTTGGATTTCAGATTTCAAAGCATCTATTTCAGCATCCTTTACCTGAAGAGCAAGTTCTTTCTGAAAGTTGACATCCTTCAGAGTTTCCTGGCTTTGGCTGAGTTCTTCAATTTTCTTTTGCATTTTTGATTCCAGAGAAGCAATTTCAGATTGAAGGGATTCAACAACGACAATTTTTTCAGAATTGTCAACAGTTTTTTGGTCAAGGTTAGATCTGACTTCTAAAATTTCAGCATTCTTTTCTTGAAGAGCAAGATCTTTCTGCATGATGTTGTCTTTGAAAGTTTCCACTAATTCCTGCAGTTGGCAGTGTTCTTTAATTCTCTGTTGAATGTCCAATTTCAAAGCTTCAATTTCAGATTGAAGAGATTCAACAACGATATCTTTTTCAGTAATTTCAACAGTTTTTTGTTCAAGGTTTGTTTTGATTTCTAAGATTTCAGCATCTTTTTCTTGAAGGGCAAGATCTTTCTGTATGATGTCATCTTTGAGAGTTTCCTGGACTTGGCAGAGTTCTTTAATTTTCTGTTCCATATCAGATTTCAAACCTGAAATTTCAGCAACCCTTTCTTGAAGAGTAAGATCTTTTTGCAAATTGTTTTCTTTGAGACTTTCCACTAATTCTTGGACTTGGCAGAGTTCTTCAACTTTCTTTTGCATGTCTGATTTCAATGTGGCAATTTCAGACTGAAGGGATTCACTAAGAATGGCTTTTTCAGCAATGGCAAGATTTTGCTGGTTAAGGCTGGTTCTTAGTTCTAAAAGATCAGCATCTCTTTCTTGAAGAGCAAGATCTTTTGCCTGAAGACCTTCTGAGCATTGTCTTAGCTGTTCCTTCAGCTGTAAAATTTCATTCTCATGAACTTGTTTGTCAGACTCATGCAGACTCTCAGCTTTAACAGCTTCTTCCTCTTTCAGTGATAAAGCTACAGATATTTCAGATAGTTCTGTCTTGAGGGTAGAAAGCAAAACTTCTTGTTTTTCTGTCACATCAACTTGTAGCTGCAACTCTAACCTTACTTGATCTATCTCAGAGGATTTTTCAACCAAGGCCGACTCTTTAGATTGTAAATCAGCTAACAACACTGAAATTTCCTCTTTTAGCTGATTGGTCGCCTGTTCGTGTGAACGTTGTAGACTTTCAATCAGCCCAGATTTTTCTTCAACAGTCTGTAACAAACTCTTAACTTGATCAGTTTTTGCATCAAGATCTGAATAAATAACTGCTTTTTCATCAACAAGACTTGCAACAGATGCAGTGAGTTCAATAACATTTGAACATTTCTCAGACAAATCCTTGCGCAACTTATCCTCCAATGTTTTCAAGTTTTCAACTTCGCTTTCAGCAGCATTCAACTTGGCTTCAGCTTCTGTAAGCCTCAAACATAACTGTTCCTTGTGGGAGACAGAATTCTTCAGCTCTTCAATTTCCTCGTTCTGTTCAGTGATAGTGTGGCTTACCTGATTTAACCTCTCCAGCAATGCATCACGTTCTTGCTTCACTTCTTCTAACTGGCATTTAAGTTCACCCATTTGAATTTCTAAGAAAATACCCATGGTTTCTCCAGGAGAATTGTCTGAAATTAATTAAAAATAGGAACAATAATTTATGGAGAATTAAGTCTCTAGTATCTATGTACTTAGGATGTTACTGAATCAGAACTAAATTTGAAATGTATATATTCCATATTCCAAATTAATTTATTTAAATTTTAATATTTAATATTAATTTTAAAATAAATCAGTGTACAAAATTGGGTTAAATTTAATCACAATACTTTACTGATTATAGGCAGCTAAATTATATGTAGGACTAACTAAAAATTAAACACCCATACATCAAAAAGATTATACTATTAGACTAAAAACATTTTAGTGCGCAAATATTGCATGAAGAGGTTATACATTTCCAAATTGAATTTCTAAGATTGTATGATATTATTTACCAATTTACTTTAATTATACTTTTCATAACTGCATTAATATATAACATAAAAATTGTTTTTATAAAAGTTTGTACACATCTATGTTTATTTCAAGAAATGTGCATCAATTTCAATTAAAAAATACATAATTAAAATATTTTCTAAGATGTTTTACATATTTGAACAAGCACACATAACAATATACCTTCCTGGCGTGCCTGCAGCTCATCTAAGTCCTGCTGTAGCTTCGCATTGACTTCTTTGGCCATTTCTAAATTTCCTTTGATTGCTTCCCTTTCCTTGTCCCACTCTTGCTTGGCAGAGTTCAAGTCAGCAAGTTGCAAATCTAGAGTTTGGATCTGGGTTTCAAGCTGGTTTATTGTTTTAAGATGGACTTTGTTTTTTTCACTTTCCAGTCTAAGCAATTTGAGCTGTAAAGAAAATAACTTTAGTCATTTCTTCTCAGGTTTCAGGAAAACCTAACTTTTATTCAAATAATTTTTAGTAGTGATTTCTATTGTTTACAGATATAAACAGTTTATCACTTTCCTAACTCTGAAGTTTTAGATACTTGAACACATAACGATTAAAAATTTCTCATATTTACTAATATTTAGTAATATACCATCTCGTTTAGGTCACAAATTTCTCCAATTAACAAACATACCTCATCAAAAAGTTTATCCATCTCCTCACTATGAGAACTATTTTCTTTCTCGAGGTAGTGTGCTTGTTCTTTGTAATTCTGTAGGGCGAACACCTTTTTATTCAACCTGAAATTTAAAATATTCTATGACTGCTAACTCGAAAGTCGAGTTTGAATCCAGGTTCAAGTCAGTATGCTGACCACACTATCCCTTCGTATGACGAGGTCTATGAAACAGATAAACTCTACTTTATCTGCCCCCTGTGTCTTGGGCACGAATGGGAAAAGCTAATGAAAATCATTTAAAGAGAAGCTATTCTAAGCCCTAAGTCAACTTACTTAGACAACTCCATCTCCATGTCTTTATATTTTAATTTCATTTCTTGCAATTCATCATAAGCATCTTGTAAATGTAACAGATCTTTTATTCTTTCTTGCAGCTTGGTGATTTCAGTATCTGTAAGAGCATTTCATAAACTTATCAGAATGAATACAAATGTAAGTTTAGATGTTTTCCTGCATCAAAAGGAATCTCAAATTCCAGGGGATACCAGGGAATAATATTATGTGTTATAAATCCCTAACAAGTCAATCAAATGGCAATTTTAAATATAAATTGAAAATTCATCAGTTATTAACTTTGTAAGTTTTGTGGATGTTAACATTTCAGTATTTTTCTTTAAAATTTCATGAGATTAAATTTCAGAGAAAAAGACAAAAATTTCAGGGTTTGTTTAAAATTTCATAAGACTAGGGGAAACTGATTTAAGACTAGATCTATAATGTCTTTATGTTTGAAAACCAAAAACCAATGCTACATACTAAAATTTACCTTTCAAAATGCCTTTTGATATGTGATCTTGTATTGTAAATTGCATTTCTTCCTTAAGGTAAATTTGATCGTTCAATTGCTGCTTAAGTTTACGAATCTCTAGCTCTTTCTGATTCAAGGTAGCCTGTAACAAAAAATGTTAACAATTTATTAAGGCCTCAGGGATTTTTATTGAGACATGAAAAGAACAGAATCGTTTTATTTAAACAAACCTTATGCATTAGTTGGGGAGAAAGAGCAAACTGAACCAAAGGAGAAGATGGTGATGATGTGTCTATACTCAGCCCCCGTAATGGCGATGTGATGTCTTGCAAGGAATAGTTTAGTAGAGATGTGTTGTGCTTCAGCGGGCTGTCTTTAAAGAAGACATTTCCTGGGGCTGTCAAACGACGGTCTTTAGGAGTAGATGTCTGTGCTGTGCCCAGAAATGTTGATTTGCGAAGTTTAGGTGCCGGGGAGGCAGTGTGTTCACTCTTCTCAGCTGGGAAAGTACAAAAAATACATTGGGAAAATTGTTGCACACAAAATTTTAGATTACACAAAATAATGTTCTGTTTCAAAACAGATTTTTCAACAGATTACTATTGATCATTATTAATAGCAAACCTAAAACAATATGTATAAAGCAATTATGAGTAAATGATTCTAAAATATTTTTTATGAAAAACTAAACCAATTTAAAACAAGTTTAACAACTATAATCGCATAACAAAATTATAGCTCCTGTACTTTCTGAGACAGTAGTTTCTTTTAGAAATTTTAATTAATCTTGTTTGAATACAAGAAAGCTATTGTCACATACAAATACAAGAATAAGATTAATTAAAACAATGCCAAATAGTGATAAACTTTGTTACTTCAAAAAGAAATACGGGTTAGTGCTATTAGTGCCTTTGACTCCAAGGGTAGTAAATAATTTCTGTTAATATTGTTTTAAAGAGATTAATTTTCAAATGTGCTTTATTTAGATCTAATTATTATAGTAAAAACTGGCTCTGATATGTGCACAGTGAACCGATGCTTCTACATTAGTATATTAAGTGGACTAAGATTAGTTATTACACTATTTACAGGAGATAATGTAAATGTAAAGCCAGTAAGGACTGGGTATAAAATCAAATCAACAAACACTATAAATAAATTATTTACCAACAACCGGTGAAAAGAACCCTTTACAGACATAAAAAGCAAACAAATGTTTTAGAAAGAGAGGCCAACAATGAGGTAATTACAAAGATTTAAGCAACACAATTGCAAATGATCATTGCAGTGAATGTTACTTTGGTTAGTGTATATATTCTTATGTGGATATAAGAATGTATCTGATGAGTACATGAGTATAAGCAGCTTGCTCAATTCTCTGTTATTATTACCTGACTTTATAGGAGATACAGCAAGGTCAAAAGATCCATCTTTAGAAGATGCTAAAGAAATAAAATTCTGAGAGCCCTGTAGCCAATTTAGCAATGTGTCTGGGTTTAAATCAGTTTGACAATCTAAAAATAACAATCGTTTCTAAGAAAATGGACTAGCAATGATGAAATATGAGGCAATAAGAAAACACTGTAATTCATGTGTGATGTTATGATAAATCAAGAAAATAAATATGACATAATCCTAATGGACTTTCTTTATTCTACATAGAATCTGGTTCATACATGACCTTAAAAAATTATTTTATGCAAACCTCATCAAAACAAAGAAAGGCTAAAAAAAACCAACCAGAAAAAGAGTTATAAAGTATTTCCTTAAATTCAAACCTACTGAGTAATAAGACTTAAAATTTTAAAAGTGGAGAACAACTAGAGACCATAGCTCAGGATTTTATAATCAAATGTATATGTCTTGTTGAATGGTTAGGTGCTTTTGTCTAATGAAAGAGAAAAATCACAACACCAAAAAGCAGTCAGCAACAGCAATTGTAAAAAACGAAAAAAAAGGGTAATTACCAGAAGGTTCCCTTAAAACTTTTTCAATGTTGGAGGTCAAGGCTATTTCTGTAGTACCTGCTTGCACAACTGACTGTATAATTGTGATGACATCCATGTGCATGTTGGATGGTAATTGCATGGCAGAACTGATGAAGTGTTGCCCATTTTTATCTAAGACTCCTATCCCAAACAGTACAACTGCCACCTGCAAAAGTGAAAATAGAATTGACAGAAGATGCTCATTATGATGTGTATAATACTGAATAATAATAATAATGAATTAGCAACATGTATTTTTCATCTTTCTTCTACTACTTCGTTCTTAATTGTAGTGTTGGAAGGGACCACTCCAACACAAGTGTACATGTCAACTATATATGCACAGATTTCAGCCTACTTTTTTTTGGATTTGCTACCATTGTCTTTGTCCAACCAAGAACAAACTACAAGGCAGCAGTTGTTTGATTTTGTAGTTGTCTCTCGTAGAAGAGTGGTTGTCCCCAGCTAACGAGACTCAACTGCCCGAGGGTTCGAACTCGAGACTTTTCGGTATAGCAACCATGAGCTTTGCTGACCCCTTTATTTTTTATCAATTACATCCTATTTTTAATTAACAGATTCAGTAATAACTATGAGATTAAAAACAGTCAATACCTTAGCTACTTCTAATTCAACTTCCTTAAAGTTTTCAGATGATTCATCCGCATTCAGAATGATGTCAAAGTTGAAAAATTCTTCAAGTCTGACATTGTTGCCATAAAACTCTGCAAATAATGTACCATATTACATATACAGATTTCTTGATTCTTATAAAAACACTAAATTGAATCAAGATTTATTCTACAGGTATTGCCACCAGATTTGGGACAACATAAGGATGTTAAGGTAGGAAAAAGAAAAAAAAAAGCCTCCATACGTTAAGGTGTTTTTGTAAATACTGATTTACTCAACCAACAGAATGATGCACAGTATTACATAATGAAGCGTTATAAAAAAGATGATTAAAATAATGAACCACAATACAAAAAATATTTTAAAGAAAAAAAAACAAATTTTTAACTAGAAGTATTAAAAGAAAAACCTTGTAGGAAACTCCTGATGCAATTTAATCTTTCTACATCACTGTTGAGTTCAACATGTTTATTCCACTGCTCCCTGTTTAAATATGTTATGTTTGAGTAAGACTGTGCATTTAAATTTAGTTAAAGAAACTTTATAAATCATGTACACTTTTCAACAAGTAGAATTTCTTTTTAATAAAAAAAAAAGCAAACAATGGTACTTACAACAGACTTAAAACATGCAGGTAGTATTTTCCACTTTTTAATTCTAACAATGTTGAAACCGGTTGACCCCATAGTGCACTAATCTGAAATGATGTAAGAGTGTGATGGTTGAATAAGGAACTATTTAAGTTCAAAAATTACGAATAGAGAAAAACATCAAGTACACAAACACTGGGATTTTTAACCTTTTTGTTTAACTTTTAAGCAATTCGTTGTAAATTAAGTATAGGCCCAACTGTTAATACTATTAATAATAGTGTTAATTTTATAGTGTGAATCTTTGTAATCTCAATAATACTACAGTCATCACAGCAACAAGTATGTTCAACAACCATATAAAAATGAAATAGCCGATTCTAACCCGAAAAAAGATATGCATGCACAATGGAGAGAAACTACCGCTTTCCTTCGCTATGATGTTTTTTATGATACTGCGCATGCGAGTGTTCAGAAACAAACTGCATAACCCTAACCCTAGCACAGCTATTAAGGTCACTGCGCATGCGCAGAACTATTGAGTTTTGTATCTTCTGCCGACATATCTTTTTTCAGAGTAGTCACTTCCAAATGTAATAGCTATATACTACTATATAGGACTAGGCCTAAGTTCTTTAAATTTATCTATTTTGGATTTCTTTTCTACACATATTTAGCTTTTAAATAAAAGCATATAGGCCTAGATCTAGCCATAATATTAATATGGTCTAAAAATACTTACAATCTGCAACACTGTGGCTTTCTTTTGAGGATCCATGCCATAGATAGATCCTCACTGTCCTGGTAATAAAATGTGTTATTCTTTGAAAGACCACTTGGCTTGATTACTTTTTGACAAAATAGATTAACTTAGGCCTTAGGCCCTATAAAATACTATAAATAAAAAAAAATCAAGCTAAAGTGCTGTAACCAGGGCCTAAATATAAATATTAAAAAGAACCCAAACTACTAAACTACAATTGAAAATAAGTAAACTTTACTTTACTTAATTTTAGAATTTTTTTTTACTTAGGACGGTCTTACTGAATCTATGTTAGGTCAAAGTTAGATCTATGATCTAGACTAGATTCTAGATCTAGAACAGGGGTCTCCAAACTTTTCAGTTCGAGGGCCGCATTAACTATCAAATATCAGTTCGAGGGCCAGCGGTTCTTCATGGCATCTCTCCTCCTCCCCCCCCCCCACCCCCAAGAACGTCTGTCACCCCCCCCCCCCCCTCCCCAACGAAATATAATTTTAATAGAAATATATATCTATACAAATGTCAAGTGCCCCCCCCCCCCCCCCCGCCGAGAAGAAAATCTGAAAGAAACACACTCTAGGTCCTAGTTTTTTATCAAATTGTTCTTCACGTATTTCATTCTTGAAAATGTTTGTTTATACAGGTATGTTGTTTCAAAATTTGTAAGTTACTTTAATGCAAAATGTTTTATATTAGGAAAGTCTTCCTTGGTCAAATACTTATAAAATCCCACCCGCCCTTCTTTGAACTTGTCTCTAAGGAGGTCATTTGCTTGCAATTCAATGACATCAAGCTGCAGTTCATCTGCGCAACTGCCCACATTAGCTTTAAATGGGTTTTGAGACAATCTCACTTCTTCTGTCTTTGAATCCAAGCCAAAAAACCGCTACTGAAACTGCAGCTGGAGGTCTTTGATGAAATTGCGCGCAAATGACCAGGGACTCAACTGTTGCTTCAGCCATGAAGACATTGTACTGATGAAAGTGCCTCAAGTTGTTGGCCTGTGCTTGTTCCACAAAAACATGACGTTTGGATCGTAAGGCCTTTACGCGAGCGGGTGTATAAATCAGAAACTTTATTTTCCCTCTCTTGTAGTTTTAGGTTCAGAAAATTTAAATGGCAAGTTATTTCTGCAGCAGAGGCCAATTTCTATACACACTCTTCAATAGACATTAATGGATGTGGCTTGCTTTTACTTTCCAGGAGGTCACATATTTCCTTTCTTAACTTAAAAAAACTGCTCAGAACTTTCTCACAACTTACTACTTAGCCATCTTACTGCTTTGTAATATGGTAACCGTACCATACATGTTATGTAGGGAAACCATCTATAATCTATAGGCCCTAATCTATTGTGTTATGTTCATTTCTTTATCCACACCTCAAATGAACACAAGCAGTTGAGAGGTGAAACAGCTGTCCAGCAACTCATCCATCGCAATTGAAAAATGGCGAAACTTGCTTGCATTTTTTCGCTATGTGAGTCACAATGTTTTAACCAATGTGTGCGATACGGTGGGCAATGGTAATTGCCACTAATTGCACCAAAAGCTACATTTTCAAATTGTTTTGAATATCTGGGCAAAGTTCCTAAGTCACTTACAACAAACTTTTTTTTCAGTGGACAAAACATTCTCGGCGGGCCGGATTAAAAAAGGACATCGTAGTTTGGAGACCCCCTGATCTAGACTAAACCAGACTCCTCTACGGCTCTACAGTACAGTACAGTCAGTACAGTTAAGTACAGTAGTTTACACACGACGACAGCAAACTAACACCAATCCCAATAACTTTTAACCAACAAAGTAGATCTAGATCTAGATTTTCTAGATCTACAAAGCCGAAGAATAGTCAGAAAATAAAAATATTTTCTCTGGCCTTGGTAATCAAAATAAATAAAATTAAATATCAGTCATGAGTCACTGAGTCAGGGCCCAGGCCCAGGGCAGGGCTTATTCTAGATCTAGATCTAAATAAATTTGAGTCTTAGAATTTAATTTAAAACTAAACAAACGAAGAAACGTGCATGGCATTTCATTTTCTAGATTCTTTTTCAGGTTCAATTTCTTTTTTCTTTCGTTAACAATCAGTGGAATAGTCTAGATCTAGATCTAGATCTATATCTAGTTTAAGACAACAAGCTTTTTCTTACCTGCTTTAAAAGTCTTCTATTTAAAATGTCAACATTAACTTCAAATTCAAGCGGCGTGCCTCGTTTTCAATGCGGAAACGTGACCTAGTTTTCTCTTTTTAAAATCAAAATTGTGTCTGGTTGTGTATATATCGCTAAGATACGCAGAAAACCCCTACACTAATCACTACAATCTATAGAATCTAGATCTAGAATCTAGTCTAGATCTAGATCTAATCTAAAAATCACCCCTTTTGTTTTGGAAAATTTTGGAATTATGAGTGACATAAACACATAAATATAACTAACCTCTAAACATATTGTAACTTTAATCCAAACTCATAAACTATAATACGCTTTTTAATGGGGAGGTAGGCACTTATATACTAAACTCTAAACTAACTATTATTAACTAACATACTTATACTATTAATATACATTATTTGACGTGGAAGCCCTATTATTGATTGCAATAAATATTTATAATGAAAATTTGGGGACCTTACTAATTATCTTCCACAATTGATTCATTCAGAGTTAATTATAATAATATTTTGCTCCTCTGGATGAAAATCTTTAGTTTTCTTGTTGGCATTGATCTGTGAATTTATATTTTAAGGTTTGAAATGAATGCATTGCAATTTATTTTTCATTTTATTATTGTAATGCAAGTGACACCATTCTTTCATTTTTGATTATTACCCTACAGAAGTAGGGTTTGAAAAATAGAGTATTAGACTCATTATTATGCTCCTCTCCACGGAAATCTTTAGTAAAAGGCGAAAGATTTACGCGTTGTGAAGAGAAACCAGAGTAACTGAACAAGTATAAGAATCCGGACCACTACAATTAAGAATACATAGAAATATATGGTGCCTTTGGAAATGAATTTAGCTTTAAAATTAAATAACCTGTTATAAAAATTAAAATTTACTAAAATTTTAGTCTTATTTCTTTTAATTAAAAATTAATGTTATTTGATATACTAAGTTACACCAGTAACAAGCAAAATTTCTTTATAAAACTGTTATTTAAAAAATACTTGTAAAATACATTTGAGTTATTTCCCTTGATAGAACATTTTTGTACCTTGCCTTACTTGAGTTATTTCCCTTGAAGGAGCATTTTTGTGTACCTTGCCCTACTTTTAATTTTAACAGATAACCGGTGATTTGGTAGACTAGGTAGGTAGACGATTGGTTTCTCTATCACAGTTCCGAACAATACGTCTACAAACTTGTCCACCGTCAATTAGTTTGCCTATAATTAGTCTTTATAAGGGCATATAAAATTAAATATCAGTCATGCTCTTAAGGGCATAACCCATCAACCAAGGCATGTAGGCCTACATTTAAATAACGTCATCGTTGGTCTCATTCTAAAAATATTTGTTGCGCACTAGTAGATCTGAATATAACAGAAAAGTGACTAAAAAGGAATCGGGGACAGTACCATTAAACCCATTTTCATACAATCAATTGTTTCTTTCTGATATTTTTTTTCTCCAGCGGAGGGGGGGGTGCACTTAAATTTACAGAGGGGGGGGGGGGGCTGACACTGGTTAAAGTATACATTTTCTACATAAATAATATTTATTTTTTTCTATTTTGTCCTGGAGTGGAGGGGGGGGGAGTGGGCTTGTTTCGGGGAGGCTGATCCCTGTGAGAAATTCTGTGCAGATCCTAATTTTGTAGTTTCTTCTCCTTACTGCAGAGTTTCTTCCAGACATCTCTTCGGGGGGGGGGGGGGGGGGGGGGAGGGAACGAATTTAATATATTTCCTTTAACAGTGTCCGTCCCCGACCCCCCCCCCCCCCGGAGATTTTAGTCCCCCCCCCCCCGGAGATAAATGTCTGGAAGAAACACTGCTCCTTAGTAAATTAGTATCAGATTTAAGTTTATATGAAGCCTCTTCGAATTTAAATGGCTATATGGATACGTGCGGGAAGCAGCTGGCAGAGACAGGACTGTTACCACAGGTGACAGCCAGGAGACCGACAAAAGTTAGGGGTGCTTTCTGTGAGCGACCTCATGTCTTAGGTATAGAAGGGAAAAGATTATGAATAAAATAGTTTTGTATTATTTAAGAAATCTCACAGTAGAGACAGTGGCGTAGCTAGGATTTTCGGGCCCCTATGCCAGAGGCGGAGCGACCCTTCCCGGCGCCCGGGGACAAACTTTCTATTTGCATCCCCCCCCCCCCCCAATTTTTGATTTGCACCCCCCTCGAACTTTTCATTTGCGCCCCCCCCCCCCTCAAACTTACAATTTGGCGCCCCCGCTAAGGTCGGAGCCCGGGGACATATGTCCCCGCCCCCCCCCCCCCTCGCTACGCCTCAGCCTATGCAAAAATTATCATTGGGCCCCTTCGTCAGCCTTTAGGCTACAATAGAGTTAAACGAAGAAATCAACTGCGACTTATGATGGAGGATTTAAAAAATAATATAAATATTCTGTACATTTTATATTTTACACGTCCTGATTTTGTATTTATACTATATTAGTATCTAGTTTTGTAAAAATGTTACAGGCTTACAGTTAATTTGTTATTTTTCTTAAAGAAAACAAACACAGTAGCGTTATAAGGCGTGGGCAGAGGTACGGTCCGCATAGGATGACAACATTTAGGCGTGACATCATGTAAAATTACTGTCAAAATTATGTTGTATCCAGCTAAAATAATAAAAGATTAGTGAGAGAGGGATCACACCCCTCCGAAAATGCAAAATTGTTGGGGACGATTGGGTGACACCTTTAGTAAACACGTAGGGTAATACCCGAACTTGTGACAATACTAACCAAACAATTTTTTTTTAATTGCTCATGATTTATTTAGATCTGGGTTTTTTTCATGCTGTTTATTTTGTAAAATGATTAATATATTGATTGAGATCTACTTTAGCTGCTTCTATATGTTCGATTCTTATGATGGCCAAGCTACTGACCCAATGGGCATATCTACAATTTGTTTCACAACAAATAACAACATTATAATGAGCAAATAATATGATTTTAAAATTCCACCAAAGACATCAAAATCTCTATCCCGATCACCGTGAAATGTTAAAGAATGTTTATACTAACGATCTAGTCCAACATACCAGCAGAGTTTCTTCCAGGCATCTCTTCGGGGGGCTTTGCCCCCCCCCCCCCCCCCCCCGGAAAAATCCCCCCCCCTCCCGAACGAAATGAAATGTATATAATTTATATAGAAAATATATACTTTTAACAGTGTCCGCCCCCCCCCCCCGAAGAAAATCTACCGCCCCCCGAAAATTTTAAGTGCCCCCCCCCCCTCCGGAGAAAAAAAAGTCTTGAAGAAACACTGCATACCAGGGTAACAAAACAATTTGTAAGGGTTTCAGCAACGCGTTACCAATTGTGTATTTTTAGTCGTGTGACCCTGTTTTCTAAAACAACGCCACTGCTATTTTTTTTTCGTATATAAGCTGCTGGGCGCGGGTTGTTCCACACTACCGCTCAGACGCCCTTGGGCGTGATGTATGAAAGCATTGAGTGTACGTTAATCATCTTCCGTAATAATGAGGTTGAATACCTTTCGGCGACCGCCTAGGTGTCAGGGGCGTCGTGGGAGTGACTGGTTACACTATCGTAGATAGCCAGATGCAACCTATGTTCCTATTGTAGGATATTTGTGTGATTGGTGTCATCTGTACGCTGATGGCGTCGAAAGCCGCCCCTGTTGCAGTTTGACTGTTGAAACAAGTAGTATCCATGACTCTGCAGGATGCACAATCAACGAATCGCGTGCACTCAGATGGCCGCGGGGTAACTCGGGAGCCCAACTGTTACTACTGCGTATGCGCTGGAGGACACCCCTTATTCAATTTAGTAATCGATTTTAGTATCCCGACATATCCCTAGTGTATGGTGCTTATTAAAACGAATATAGGCGCCGTAGTGCTCATGGGGGAGCCCGGTGCGCACCGGCCGAGGTGCCGGCTGATGCGCCCGTGCAATTTGTCCGCTGAATCAAGTAGTAACGCTGACCCTCTGCGCCGGACACCCTTTCAACGGACCCCAGGTGGGTGCAAAGATAGCCGCTGGGAAACTTCGGGTGGCAAACTACACCACCTACTAACCTTCACAAAAGTCTTTCAGGCATTTTCAGATAAAATGTCAGGGGAAAAGAACACTTCCTTTGGAGTATTCTAAACGATTTTCCAAAGTTTCTTGGCGATGGATGAAAACCCAAAACTTGTTAGTAGCGCCATAGTGATTAAAGATTAATAAGATCAACCCATGAAATGTCATTAAGGTAAAGTGATATTATCACGGATAGGCCCTGTTCGACCCCCCCCCCCCCCCCCCCCCCCCACTGAATCCCACTACTTGTAAAGTAAGAAAGGACTGGGGGTCTTTTTGGAACTTTTAATTATTTCTACAATAGAAAAGAAACTGAATTTTCATTTTCTTTTAAAAATTATTTATATAAAACAAATATTGAAATTCCAACGTAAAACGTTTTAGTTTTTTTAAGAGGGAAAATGGCCCCTTAATGCCTCGGGTCTCCTATGCCTTGCTTACGCTAGCTATGCCACGGAGTAGAGAAGCTTTTCAAGTGATCAAGCCAAAAATAAGGGTAAGAGTTGACAGTAGGAAATAGATTTTGGTTTTTTCTTATTTCAGTGCATTTATTAATAAATGCAAATTTTTGTCTACAGTATATCAGCCACTGCTGTTGGAAAGGGCCTTGTTAGACCCCCACCCCAATGGACAACCAAAATGTAATTAGACCCATTTCAATTTACAGCTATAGGAGAGTAAACTTAACGCTCATGTTTACAATTTGTTTTCTTTCATTATGAGTTATATACACACATACATATATGAAAGAAATATTCTTCCCATTATAAAACCCCAGCTTTTGTATACTTATTTAAGCAGGTATGTCCAGATGTCACAAAGCCATTTATATTTATGTTGTGTCTTTTTTTCTTTAAATAAGTCGTAATTGTGAGTTTATTCTAAAGAGTACAACAATATAAAAACATGGTTTATGTTTTGATTTATTTTTTGTTTCCATTCTCTCTACATACATTTTAAATTACTTAAGATATACAACTATACTTTCACTTAAATTAATTCTGTTCAATAACACAATGCATGAACAGTTGAAAGCACATGTAACAAATTAATATATACATCAATATTTACAGGTATAAAACAACAATTTAACAATTTTTAATAAAAGTAATTAATCCAATTAAAGCAAATAAAGGGATCTTTCTTACAACTTACATAGAATACAATGTTGAACATTATAAAATAATTCTATCAACTACATCTTTTGTATTTCAAGTGATAAAAAAAATTGTGTAAACTTTAAAAAATAGATTATTTCAAATAAATATGACCATTTTGAATTTAAAAAATAACTTACAGTAAATCTGAAAACACATACCAAAAACAATCTCTCTTTAAGATACTTGAACATCAAATGCTCATTACTTCAGCTAAAACAAAACCCAACAAATTTATTCAATTTCTGACTAAACTAAATTGATTAAAACGACTAAATCTAAGTACTATTTATTATTTTGTTACAAAAAGTATTAACTAGGTCACAGCTTATTTTTGTAATGTGATGAATTTTGACAAACGTAAAGCGAAACTTTATAACTAATATTATAAAATAAAAATATTGGATGAAAAGCGTTACAGATCTGTTGGCAGACAGTATTGTTGGCATGAAGGTATACACAATTTAAATGACACATCAATCCTAATGAAATAAAATTAATATACAATAAAAAAATATAGGCCTACATCAAATACACGGGTGGCTTATGATGAACAACTAAATGCCAGCAGTGGAATGTGCGTGTATGATTCTTTCTAGCTGTGGCTCCTGCCCTACTGTTCCCCATTAGAAGTGTGGTTTTGGGTTGAGGATTCAGCAGAAAACGTGTTACCATTGCTTCTGATCTTCGAGTCAACTGCTCTTTTAAAATGCTTTCTCTGGCCATTATTCTTCTTAGGTGTAAAGCCAATATTAAATGCAACACTTTCAGAACACTAGAATAAAAAGTACAGTAAATTAACAGCCTCATTATGATTGTCATATCATAGAAACAGCATATGTATTTTTATTTAAATAAAATTTAAACATCTTTTGTCAAAGAATTTGTTCTAAAATACTATTTGAGCAAATAATAAAGTTTCTTCAATTTTTTTTGTTTTTTATACTTAGTGAAAATTAGTTAAAAACTTGTTTTTAAATTAATTTCTTTTGCTCCATCTAACTTGCACAGAATTTTACTTATTTTATACTTTAAATAATTTAAAACTTGTTTAATAATTGATCAAAACATTAATCAAAGTTCTGTTAACATTTTGAGGAAGATAGGGAATAACAAAAATTGACAAAACTTGTATAAAAAATATTTGTAACATATCAAAGTAAGAAAACTCACTTTATAATTAGCTCGGGGTGATTTATGGGGTGTGTGTTTATGGGGAGTGCGCCTAGAGTTGACATAAGGAGATCGATGTGACTTGAACTTCCCTTTAACTACAGGTGAGACACCACGTGGGGGTGTGCACTTGACAGACATTCTTTGCCTGCCTGGCATGCAAGGTGCTAGTCTTTGATAAACAGGAGCTGTGTGAAACTGCCAAATGTAAAAACAAAAATTTCTTGAATATAAGAATAATTATTTTACAAAACAATTGTATAATTATACTATTAAAAATGTTTTTAATTTGATACAGAAAAAAAATGACTTTATGACTTTTAGTTAACATTTAGTATTCAACAATTAATAACAAATTGTAAATAAAGAGTACAAAAATGTACCTAATAATATCTTGATGTTACTTTACACACAGCTATAATAACTATCAACATATTAAAAAGAATCAAGAATCTCAGCAGAATTGGCTAATTAAACATAGTTCACAGCCTTTAACTAAATGGCAGATAAAACAAAAATAATGAAGATATACATAACATTTGAAGAGAGAATTTAAACAAAAAAATAATGTATAAAAATGAAACAAATGCATAAAAGCTGAATAAAAAAGAACATATATACCATATATTATTGCAGTTTTTCTGATAAACAGAATACCACTGAAAGAATTGAAATATTTAAATATTTCTGTTACATACAATGTTTTTCTTTACAATTTGTTCTCTAAGTTTAAAATCTAGGAATGCATGATTTAATTAAAGATTTTACGGAATAGCTTAAAAGGAGCTAAACAACATTCGATGTAAAACCAACCAACTTTTCTGTACACATAGTTTAAATATTCTACTGCTAAAATTAACAACTGCAAGTGACAAACAGGGTGTAGAAATCGCACCATTGTGTTCGGCAAGAGACTCATTCTCAAATTGTCATCCGTTATCCTTTCTTTCTCCACAGCCTGCATCTCCACAGGGTAAGCAGATCTCATATGTGCTGGGTACATGCTGTTTCTCCTCTGCAACTCACTTAATCTATTCCATTCAAAGTCTTGACCCTCAGGTTCATTGGGGCAGGACATAATGGCTGGATGATATCCTGGAACAAGGATGTGGATCAGTTAATTGAAAGCTAAAACATAGTAAAAGTATATGGGACCGAAGTTCTATAAATTAAAAAATGATATTAAATATTTAAATATATTAAAAATACATTTAAAAACTCAAAAAGACAAACATTTAAATATATATTATACAACAAAGATTATCTAGTCCATAAAAAGTTAGTTTTATACTAGTGCCTCTATTATCTGATATATGTTAAAACAGAGCAACAAATTTAAACCATTCTAGGTAATTCATTAACAAAACAAGTCCTAGACTCTACCTTTATCTTCACTAGTTTGATGAAAGTGAGTTGGGTTTCCAAGCAAAGCTGTTCCAGCTTGCTCCAACTGATGCTGGTATTCTCTTACTTTTCTTTCTGAATAACTTAGAGCAGTCTTAAACCTGTTTACTTCCATAGTAAATTTTGATGCTTCATCATCCAAGTGCTTCTGCAATTTTGCATTTGTGTCCTGTTCTATTCTCAAAGCTTTAGAAAGACAGGAATTGTTTTCCCTCATAATCTGCAAATGCTTTTCATGATGCTTAAAAAGCTCATAAAAACCCTCAGATTTCTTCAGCTGTAAGGGTAAAATCAAATAGGAAATTTTTAAAAAACCAAATTAATCTGATTAAAAACTAAATATCTAAATAGAAAGTTTTACCTCTTATGTACAGTTATTATAAAAAAAAAACGTGTAGTATCCTCACAAATTAAAGATAATTATAAGCAATTGTAATTTTCTTTAATTTGATAATTACTATTGGCACAAACCTCGCTACATCTGCTACTTGTATTTACTCTACAGTATATGTTATTTACACTTAGATACTGATGTAGAATTTAGAGTATAAATTTCTACAAATGTATTCATACCTGTTCTTTCACCACTGACAGCTCATTTAATTCAGCATATTTAATATTCTGCAAGTGTGAGTTCTCAGCTTGCAAGTTATTGACTGACTTTGTAAGTGTTCTCAGGTGCTCATCCTTAGCTCTCAGCTGATCTTGGACACAGCTCATTTTCTTTGTTAGATGCTTTATGTGGTCATTTTGTTCAGCAATTTTCTCTTCCTTTTTCGCACACATTTCCTGTTTACTTTTTATTTCATTATTTAATTCGTTGACTTTAACAATTAATTTAGACATCTCTGTGCATGTTTTGGTTAACTCACAACTGATTTCATCTCTAGATTTCTTGGCCTCTGACAGCAGACTATTGTTAAGTAATGCATCACTATGCAACTTATCCACCAGAGCTTTTAAGTTTTCCACTTCTTTTTCAGTTTCCGTGAGCCTCAAACATATTTCTTCTTTTTCAGAAACGGATATCTTTAGCTTTTCAATTTCCTCATTCTGTTCAGTGTTAGAGTGGCTTATCTGATTTAACTTGCCCAGCAGTGTGTCACGCTCCTGTTTCACTTCTTCCAACTGGCAGTTAAGTTCACCCAATTGAAGTTCAAGACAAACACCCATATTTTCACCTGGAGCATTTTCTGCAATTCATAATCATTAACTTAGATGAAATACTGAATAAATTTGTGTTTTTATTTAATCACCCATGAATAATTATACAACACCTCCACGAATCACTCATAAGCACAAATCCCTAACCAATACAACTTTCCCACCCCAGATATTTCCAAAAACATCAGCTAAAGAATTAGTAAAGTTAAAATAATAGGATATTTTCTTACAAGTTATCCAATGAAATAAAAGCCTTACAGCTAAACTTTTACATTTTATTATCATTCAAGTCTAATTGCTCAAGGTTATACATAGGCTTCTCAGCCATTTATACCCATACCCCTATGTGAATAATTTTATATTAAAGAATTGAACTATACAAAAGCTACCTTCTTGTGAAGTCTTCAAGTCCAACAATTCTTGACGCAGTTGAGCATTTATTGCTTTGATGACCTCCCTATCTTCTGTACATTCTTGCTTAGATTTATTCACCTCAGCTAGCAATAGATCTAAAGTTTTGACCTGAGATTCTAGCTGAGTGACTGCTTTTAGAGAGTCAATGTACTGTTCCTTTTCCATTTGAAGAGAAGTGATCTGTGTGCAAGTAGTTATGATAAATTTAGTCTGTTCTAAAATGTTGCTTTTAGTATATTTTTGGAAGTAAAATATTTATACTAGCAATATATTACCTTCTCCAAAAGTTGGTTGATTTCTGTTCTTTGAGAATTATTTTCTTTTTCAAGAAAATTCATCTGTTCTTTATAAACCTGTACATCTTTAACAATTTTATGCAACCTGAAATATGTTTAAACAATTTTAAACTGATGCAATAGTCTTTGAATACTTATGGAAGTATCTAACAAAACCTAAAATGAACATTTGAGTTGCAAAATTACTATGAACTTTTACAAGTCCACTAAAATAAATGCTGCTTACTTTGATATTTCCAATTCCATGTTTCTGTATTTTACTTTCATTTCCTGCAGTTCATCATAGGAATCCTGCAAATGGATGAGATCTTTAACCCTTTTTTGCAGCTTCGAAATTTCTGAATCTGTATTTAAAAAAAAATGAAAAACATAGCAATTAATAAAAATTTTGTTTCAACCTTTATTTTTTGTAATAATAATATAAACAATCTACAAACAAAATAAAAAATTCACCCTTTAAAATGCCCTGTGATATGTAATCCTGTATGGTAAATTGCATTTCTTCTTTAAGGTAGGTAAGATCATTTAATTGTTGCTTCAGTTTACTAAGCTCCAGTTCTTTCTGATTTAGGGAAGCCTAAGAATAAAAATATGTGTTAGCACAACACACTAAATAAAAAAGACTTGAGAAATTGAGGTTGATTTCATCTAAACTAGGTAGTAGTTTTTTTTTTTAAATGTTTTTTATGAGGTTTTTAGTATTAAAATTTAAAAAATCATTGAGCTCAATTTAATGTGTTTTTAGAGTTTGTGGCTAAATTTTTACTTTACAAAAAAAAAAAAACATTAAAACTATTGATGATGAGGGTGTGAACTATAAATGTCAATAAATTATGAACTTTACATGCAGTTAGGATTCAACAAACCTTGTGAATAAGTTGTGGAGACTGAGCAAATTGCGCCAAGGGAGAAGTAAGGGAGGCATCAATGCTAAGCCCTCGCAAAGGTGAGGTTATATCTTGAAAGGAGTAGCACAAAAGGGATCTGTCATTTTTAAACGGGCTGTCCTCATGAAGATTTCCACTCGAACACTTTTTGGGAGTTGAAGTCTGTGAGGTGAATGATGATGAACCACAAACTGGAGAAAGACACTGTTCCATTTTTTCAGCTGAAAATAAAGATTATTTCCATTAACCTAGAAAGAATAAATTAAAACACCTCATCCAAGCAAAATATACATGTAAATTGTGAACAATGTTTTTTTTGTCATTTGAATAAGCATGAACATATTCTCTTTGATACTTACCAGAAGGCTCTCTTAAAACTTTTTCAATGTTGGAAGTCAAAGATATTTCTTTAGTTCCAGCTTGAACAACTGACTGTATAATTGTGATGACGTCCATGTGCATGTTGGATGGTAATTGCATGGCAGAACTGATGAAGTGTTGCCCATTTTTATCTAAGACTCCTATCCCAAACAGTACAACTGCCACCTGCAAAAGTGTAAATAGAATTGATAATACATTTCTTGATAAAGCTTCTTCATTTGTTAAAAGAATGGACTGACATAATATAAAAATCAACAGTCAAAATATTTATGACTTCAAGTACACTTATTTTTAAATTAATGTTTAATTTAAATACCTTAGCTAATTCCATTTCAACTTCTGCAGACGTTGCATTAGCATTGAGAATCATGTCAAAGTTACAAAACTCTTCAAGTTTAACATTGTCCCCATAGTATTCTGAATATTGATAAAAACAAATTCTACGTAAGTTTATATCACATCTTGGATTTTCAAAACACAACTTTATAATAGAAATACCAGCAAAAGATCATATTATTACAAATTAGATGTGGTAGGGATATTTACCTTGAAGAAATGTCTTAATGCAACAAACTCTGTCAACATCATTGTCGAAGTCAACATTTTTATTCCACTGTTCTCTGTGGTAAAACAAAGTGAGAACTGTTGTGAGCTTTCAAACCAAAGTAAATGGGACTTAATAAAAACACATGCTTAACACTCAATTTAGAACTCTCACAATCTTTTTACATTTTTAAAATTTTAGCATAAAAATATTCTTTAAAAAAAAAAGTATGCTTACAGCAGGCTTAAAACATGAAGGTAGTAGTGTCCATTCTTCAATTCTGACAATTTTGAAACTGGATGGCCCCAAAGAGCACTAATCTGTAAGTTTAATAATATTAGTTTCAATATTAAACACTAACAAGTAATAAACATTGTTTACTCACTATTGTTATTTTTCTTATTGTTCTTGTTTTTATTAGAATTAAAACTTACAATTTTTAACACAGTTGCCTTCTTTAGTGAATCCATACCATAGGAACAACCTACAAAAAAATTATAGGGAAATTTAAAGGTTGATTTAGTGTAAAATGCCATCTAGGATACATAACAAACGTTAGAAAAAATTGGATGATATTTAGAATCGACCCTTTGAATCCCGGACAGATCGTCCCCCCCGGCGTGGCCTCAACCAATCGGTGGGCTCGTTGCATTGAGTTAAAAGTAAAAGAAAAACAGTTTCTTTTAGCATATATAAGGACATTTTTACTTCCCTCAACTAGACTGAGGTACACACCAGAAATTAATGGACATTTATAAGAATGGACCAAACTTTAATTTCTAGCTATCATATTTGAATTATTTATTTTATTTGGGAGGCAATTATGTAATTATGATCATGTGTTGCTATATTGCTACTTCAACCACTTTATTTCTTTAGGGTGTATGTAGGTGTTGGTAAAATGTGAAACTTAAAATGGCAAGATGGTAGAATTTTGCCGTAAGACGCCAAAGGCTGAGTGGAGACCATCGTGCCTCCCATGTCATCAGTTACCGGATTCGAACCTAATTAAACCAGGATTTTCCTTTGTTTGTTCTTTGTAGATCTAAAACAGTCGGTTTTGTTCGAGTTCATGCAAGATTTAAAACAATTTGATTAGGGCAGCATTTGCGTGATTTCGACACTAGTACTACTTTCGGTAAAACTCCATTTTAGCGTATTTTATTCCCCGCTTCACGTTCACCTCCAGTTGAGCGTATTTTATTATAAACACAACCGAAACACAAAAAAAACGTCAGGAAAACACTAGATCTACTTGTTTTTTAAATGAATGTGATTTTTTATTAGAAAAGGTAAAAAAAAAAAGCATAAAAAGCATTAGAACTGTTCCAATTAAATATCAAATCTCGTGTAATCGTCAGCGGGAGAAAAATCCTTACACTGTCGTGGGTTCACCGTGAGTTCACATTGACATTGAATTATCAGCATACGTCATATCATAGCTCGGGCAGTTGCTATTTGAAATTGTGTTGGCCTCAGTTTTTGGGTCATTGTAAGCTCATTAATGTTTATTTATAGTATCATGCCTGGGAGATACTTGTAACAATACAAACTTAACCGCCTTGCAATTGTGACTTACGTTTATGTACTTCACCCACTGCCATGAAAATTCTGACACACGAACATTGCACATTCAATATTCTAACAAAAACTAAATTATCAAAATCTAAAACAAAGTCAGTCTCTTTGTTTTTTTTATTTTTATTAATTTCTTATAACAAAAATACAATACAAATAAGGAAGTGGCTATTGGGACCCGGGTCCTAATAGCCTCGGCCGCTATTGGGACCTGGCATTAAGTTCGTTAAGCACTTGTACAGCCTGTAATAAAATTATACCTTTTATGTTTATTTGATTTTTCTTGTAGATTTGCTCGTATTTTGTTGTCTTTTATTGTAATTAGTTATGCGGATTATCTAGCGTTAGTTCTTGTGATGCTATTTCTAAATACCCTATATTTAGCTGTATATAGATAAAGATTAATTACTTATCGATTATCGTAAGACGTCGTGGTCTAGTGGAGAAAGCAGTGCCTCCTGCATCTCGATCAGTTACGGGATCGGAACCTATCAAAGCTCTCTATTTTGTGTGAAGTAAAGTGTATTTATCTAAGTTTAACATTCCCTTTGAGTTGTTTGGTTTAAATGATTTTTTAAATTGCTTTTATTAAAAAATAGATTTTTTTTCTAGATTTAGGTTTTTAAACACGCTAATTATAAAAACATCTTTGCTTCATTGATCGCCCGCTCGCGTTTTCTGGTCAGCGCAAGTCACTTTGGTCTATATGTGAACAGTGTAGGCGTATAGCATACGTCATAGCAAAACCATTGCTATGAGCTTGTCGAGATTTGTTGACGTCGTAGTCCCCCCCCCCCCCTTTCCCAAGCCAGCAAGAGGGAAAAACGGATTATGGGGTCATTGTGAGTTCAAATGTTACATTTTGCTTCTATTAAAGTGTACTACAAAGCATGCGAGATATTCGTATTCAAGAAAACGGGCCCTGGAGCTGTAGTCTGCAACCTATATGAGCTATCTAATACAATTTATATATATATATATATATATATATATATATATATATATATATATATATATATATATATATATATATATATATATATATATATATGGACGGACAGACCTATGAAATAAAATTACGTTTAACGGAAGAAAATAAAATAAAACATTTTAACATGCGCGCTCAACATTCGCTCGGCCATAGAAGTTCATACCATAGGCCATAATTATATTATAGACCTAACGTCACCCGCTCATCATAACATTGGTCAGTAATGATATCGGGTATTTAAAGCAAGATCTCAATATATCATTTAGAATTACAAGGAAAAAAATCACAACAGAAAAGATATATTCTGCATCTTAAAAGAATTTTTGTATAACTGAATCTTAACAATTCCATTGGCTGGTCCCAATAGCGGCCGAGGCTATAAGGACCCGGGTCCCAATAGCGGCCGTGGCTATTGGGACCCGGGTCCGAATAGATGCATCCTACAAATAAATAAATAGTGTTTTCCTAATGTTTTGGTGTGTTTCGGTTGTTATAATAAAATACGCTCAACTGGAGGTGAACGACAAGCGGAGAATAAAATACGCTAAAATGGAGTTTTACCCTACTTTCTTAGCTAGGTCACTGACTTAGTGACTAGGGCTTCTAGATAAAGTCTAGATCTAGTTGTAGTTTCAAAAATTCTAGACACTAGACTAGATCTAGAAAAAAATAATCAAGATTCTAAAAGTAAAAAAAAAGTATAAGACAAAAGTCAAAAGATCTCTGATCTGTTTTCCAGTTCTCAGTTGCTAGATTTCTAGATGTAAGATAACTAGATCTATATTAAGTTAATAGTTAAGTTAATAGTTTTTTAGTTATTAACTAAACTAAAACGTAAACGTAGATTTAATCTAGACTTTCTAGACCTCTATATCTACAACATAGGCCTACTAAAACGTTAAGTTAAAATTGTAATATTTCTAGCTTAAAGATAATAGATTGTGGATCTATTAACTATTATCAACTTATTAAGCATTCGCTAAGCCAAACTAACAATTCTAAAAACCGTGGCAATTTACTGTGTTACATAATACATCCCACAACAAAAACTCAAACCGGAAAACCTACAAAAACTATCTCATGGAAAAATAAAAGGACTAAAACTAAACAACTAATTTTAAATAATTCAACTATTTGTATCTTTTCGCATTTCTAGATTTTAATTAAGAAGATAACATTTTTTTTTTAAATTTAGGCCTAGCTACTAGTCTATTCAGCCTAGGATTTATAGTTAATAGTTTAGTTATAGTAGTCTAGTCAGCGACGCTAAAATCACAAATTTAAATATTAGGCCTAAATTCTACATCTACATTAAAAACTACACAATAATTACACAATTATTAGACTACGTGACATTTAATCATTTAAATTAATTTAATGGCCTGGATTGGTAGCTGAAAAAAGACGTTAAAGATATTTGTTAGTTGAAATACCTTTAAATTATGCCTTGTTTATAGTAAAGTAATCATGCCACCAAATATCTTGTAAGAAGACGATGTGAAGTGATTCCTATCTGGGAAGTCGCTTTACTTTGTGTTGTTAAAAGTGTAACACTAGTGTGTAGTTTTATACCCCATACCCTCTAATGACTAATGTGATTGCAAATACGCCTTTTTTTTCACACACTAGGGCCTATATAAGAAACGCTTTTATGGAGTCTAGTCTAGTTGTTTCACGCCCTAGGCTGTCTGAATATAGCCTACAAAACAAAAGACTGGCGAAGTCGTCTCCAAACAAATGTGGTCCCAATGTGCCGACTTATGACACGCAAAGAAATCTTGAAGACAGTCACAATGGTGGGAAGGAAAAAGCCGCGGGATAGTTGGGCCTAAAACTCTATCCGCGATTTAGCCTAGATCTATTATGATTACATAAATATAGATCTATAGCGCTATATTATTATGACAATATTTTTCGGCCAAAACGTAACAAAATCCTCTTTATTTTGTTCACAGAGTAGGCTTCAAGTGATATGCGGGGATATTTTTAATTTGTAAGTTTTAAATGCTGAAACTGAAATGTTGACTATGGCGACCAGCAACTTGAAGATGGCAGTAGTGATTCTTTTAGGCATCTCTCCAGCTACACCCCCCCCTCCCCGAGCACGTTCGCCCCCCACCCCGCCCACCATCCAGAAACAATAGCAAAAACGTAAAATTTAAATAGTAAATATGTATTACTATTATTACCTGTTCTTAAAATTGCCCCTCCCCCAAATCGGGTGTTTCAAATTGCCCCCCCCCCCCCCACGAGCTTAATGGGTTTTTTTAAAAGAAAAAAATGGATTGCTGACACGTCCAATAACCAACATATCAACAACAACAAAAATTTCATAAAAAATGACACGTAAGAAGATTAACTTTAACATTAGGTCGAGTCTAGACACCTAACCAAATGATTAGGCCTTGGCGTTGCTTGTTTTGGGCAGGGGTGAGGGTAGGGTGAGCGACTTTTTAGAACTAGCCTTTTTCGCCACCCCAAAATCAGTCGACAACACCATTTATTAAACCTGGAGTTGGCTAATTCCAGTGGCATATATAGGGGTCATCCATAAATGACGTCACACTCGTAGGGGGAGGGGGGGGGGGTCCGTTATTTTGTGACGATGTGTGATGATGGGGAGGGGGGGGGGGGGTTAGATGTTGCGACGTCATATTTTTGCATTATAAAAAAGCAATGTTAGAAAACGTATTTTAGACGTTATTTCGCGTTTTAGATAACTGTTTTAATAAATTGTAATAGTTTAGACAAGATTTTGGAAAAATATCGATGTTTAAAAAAATTCAACTGCAATTTTGAGGGGGGGGGGGGGGGGGGGGGGGGTTGTAGGCTGAGGTGTGACGTCATTTTAGGGGGGGAGGGTCTGGCTTTTTGTGACGACGTGTGACGGAGGGAAGGGGGGGGGGGAGGTAAAAATCGTCAAAAAAAGCGTGACGTCATTTATGGATGACCCCATAAATGGTAGGGTTTTTTTTTTAGACCCGCCCCTTTCATGGACCCCAACAAATGATAGTTGTCTTACGTTAGGTCACAGTTATCGGTCGTTTATGATTAATCTCAAAATATATAAATAATGACTATGCTTATGCTGATTGATAGAAATATATAGTATAATAGATTGACGACAGAAGCCTGTGGTTGTATATAATACATTTAATGGGTCTAACTACCTCATGATGGTAACACACAGAGAGGACCGAAGGAAGTACACAAGGGACATCACTCAAGATAACAATATTATAAATATATCTAATACAGAAGAGTGAGTTCCCTTGACCTCACAATTATTTCAATCTATTACATCCCTTTACCCTTAGAACACAATAACACATCTCTCAATAGAACAATTGATAGTATCCTAAAATCACCAATTATATTGTAACATGAACACTATGGTAGATTACATCCTTACAAACAATGCACAATATGCTACAACATAATCAAAATACAAAACAATAATGTCAAAGTCCTTTTGACCTTTAGAATCATAGGTCTAACTTATTTGGGACTTTGATTGTCCTGCTTGACCTTCTCAGTGGTTTCTGATTTGGTGACTCAAGATTCTGACCATCTGGATTCTCTATCTCAGGAGGTCTAGGATTTAAATCATTAACTCCAGAATTTACATTTTCTGACTCCAGACAACTTGGTTCACTCATATCAACAGAACTTGGTTGTGGAACAAACTGAGTTGGTGTCAACTGATCAGACTTGGTGGGATTGACAGATCCACACTTATTATCTGCACAAGTTATTTTTAACTTTATAAGACACAGGTCCTGTACATTGAACAATTTGACCTGGTATCCATTTTTCCTTTCTCCCATAATTTCTTAGATACACATTCTTATTAACACCAAATTCTCTTTCAATGGGTGTTCTGTCATGATTGACTTTTTGAATTGGCATCTGAAAGTATTAAATGGCAAAAATCTTTTTCTCTTTTCTTTTGATGTTACCCTTTTAGTTTCTGTAAGTGCTAATGATGTTAGCAAAGTTGTTTGATGATCACATTCCTTCTTACTAATGTATTTTCTTTAAAACATTTGAAATTGCCATATCACCATAATCATTTATTAAGTTACAAATACTTTGTTTAGGCAACTCTGACTGATAATGGACTGTATCTTCTCCATCTTTTATATTATCTTCACAAAGGGTTTTAATTTCTTATTTTATATGGCCTTAAGTCATCATTCACAGACTTTTCAGGCCAACCATTCTTACAGTACTCATATACTTTTATTAAGCACTCATCTTTTTGTGTTTCTCTTTTAATATCATTCACATTTATATTGGAGTTATCCATGATAGTGAAGAGAACAAATACATCTTCTGGTACATAGCTCAGGCTTTGGTTTTTTTTTTTTTTTTAAAGGTAATCTACTCAGACTATCTGCACTATTCTCAGATCCAGGTTTGTATTTCAATTCATAATTGTATGCAGTTAGTGTGATAGCCCATCTTTGAATTCTTGGTGGGGCATGCTCAGGTAGGGTTTTGTTTTCTCCAAATAAACCTAGCAATGGTTTATGATCTGTAAAGATGGTGAACTTCCTACCAAACAGAAACTTATGAAATTTCTTAACACCAAAAATGATGCCTAAGCCTTCCCTATCTAACTGAGAATAATTTTTCTCAGCCTGGTTCAAAGATCTACTTGCAAAAGCAATGGGTCTGTCACCCTTCTCATCCCTGTGGGACAAGACTGCTCCTACACCATCTGGTGAAGCATCACATGTTAATATAAGTCTTTTCCCTGGGTCATAGTGAGTTAGTAAGGTGTCAGCAGACAAAGCCTCTTTTGCTGTATTAAAAGCAGTATCTTGTTGTTTACCCCAGTGCCAAGTTGCATTTTTCTGTAGCAGCTTGTACAGTGGTGATAGTTTACCAGACAGATTTCCTATGAACTTTGCATAGTAATTTATTAAGCCCAAAAAAGCTCTTAGTTGTTGGGTATTTTCAGGTTTGGGTGCTTCTTTAATGGCTTTTGTTTTCTCAGGTTGAGGTCTGATACCTTGCTTGCTTAATATATAACCAAGAAAACTAATTTCTGTCAGCATGAATTGACATTTATCTTTGTTTATCTTTAAACCTTTTTCACCAACAATTTTTAATACTTTATCAAGTGTTTTAAGATGTTCAGTGTCATTCTTACCAGTTATGTACACATTGTCAAAGTAAACACAAACATTTGGAATGTCCTTAAAAATACTGTCCATGACAGCTTGGAAAATTCCAGGGCTAGATGATATGCCAAAACATAGTCTTTCATATTGGTAGAGTCCTTTATGTGTGTTTATTGTCGTATAGACTTTTGAATCTGGATGCAGTTCTAGTTGAGTGTAAGCATGACTAAAGTCTAATTCAGTGAATTTGTCTCCTCCTGCCAAATTCAAAGAAATTTCCTCAATGTTAGGAATAGGGTACCTATTTAGCTCTATTTGCTTATTCAGTGTAGTTTTATAATCTCCACAAATTCTTATAGAACCATCCTTCTTTAACACTGGCACAATGGGCGTCGCCCAATCGGAATAGTCTACCTTCTTTATGATGCCAATAGATTCTAATCTGCTTAGCTCATTTTCAATTTTATTCCTCATTGCATAAGGTGGAACTCTAGCTTTGCAGTATCTTGGATTTGTATCTTTAATGCTTAACTTCACTGTTCTATCATTTAGTAAACCTGAGTTACCAAAAACACATTTATTTTCAGATATAACTTTATCTAGTGAAGTAAGACTAGATTCTTTTACATTCTTCAATGAACAAATACTCTCCCAATTTAACTTAAGATCACTTAACCAGTTCCTACCTAGTAATGGCGGTCCATTTCCTTCAACCACAAGAAGAGGAAGTTTAACACTTTGACCATTATAACTCACATGAACCATACACTCTCCTATTACCGGAACATTGTCACCAGTGTATGTTGTTAGACACTTGTGACATGGCTGTAGAGGCACTGATTCTCCTGCGACAGCGTCAAAATCTGTCTTTGTTATGACTGTTAGAGATGCTCCAGTGTCAAGTTGGAAGCTGATGCTCTTACCGTTGATATTAACTGGTACATTGATGGGAGCATGACTTATTGATTTCACAGAGAATAGGTTGAAATCCGGCTGCGAATCAGTTTGAGCATTTTCACAGGTAGAGTGGTTCATTGGTTGGGTTAGGTAGTCTTGGTGAGAGTTAACATAGTGCTGCCTTTGGTTGCGGTACTGTCTTGACTGGCTAGATTTAGCAACAGACGAAGACTTTGCGAAGCAGGCCTTGGCAATGTGACCTTGCTTACCGCACTTATAACAAGTTGCTAACTTGAACTTGCACCGATGAGATGCATGGGGACCCTTGCATCGATGACATTTTTGATAATTATTACTAGATTTAGATCTAGGATTTGAACGAGCAGGCTGTTTAGCATAAGTTGGAATGCTCTGATGGGGTTGATGTTTATTGACTAACCTGCTGTTTACTGCATGGATCTCTGAAGGTGCTAAAGATCTCGCCGCATCTGATGACTGCTGGAATGACATTGCAAGTTGTATTGCTTTTTCCAATTTTAGATCTGACTCGAGCAGCAACTTTCTTTGAATATCAGGGCTGTTTACACCTGTCACAAACTTTTCACATAGTCTGTCAGACAGCGTATCGCCGAATTCACAAAATCTACTTAAATGACGTAAAGCAGCAACATATTCTGATATTGACTCGTTTGGTTGACGAGTCCTACTGTCAAATCTAGCTCTACATAAAAACTTTGATGGGGTAGGCGCATGGTGGTCTGTTAGCAATTTGCTCAGCTCGTTAAAGCTCTTGGTAGTTAGACTGGCTGGTGCGCATAAGTCTTTTAGTAGCCTAAATTGTTGAGGCCCTATGACTGTTAACAAAACAGCTCTCTTTTTGGCTTCTATCGTCACGTCGTTAGCTTCTAGGTAAAAGCTTAACCTCTCTAGGTAATCTTGAATGATTTCATCATTCGCATCAAATTCTTTTATTTGGCCATACAGCGCCATAATTCTAGAAATAATTAGCTAATAAGCTCTAGCAAACCTCTTTTTTGCGTAAGTAGGTGCTCTTTCTAGTGGATGTTTATCCTTCGTCGCCAATTATAATAGATTGACGACAGAAGCCTGTGGTTGTATATAATACATTTAATGGGTCTAACTACCTCATGATGGTAACACACAGAGAGGACCGAAGGAAGTACACAAGGGACATCACTCAAGATAACAATATTATAAATATATCTAATACAGAAGAGTGAGTTCCCTTGACCTCACAATTATTTCAATCTATTACATATAGCTACACGGGACACTACATAATATATGGGCTATACTATCAAATACAACTCAAACGAAGTAAGATCCTGACAAAGCGTAACTAGGGTAGGGCGACGCTCAGAGGCGTAGCGACCGTTCCCGGCGCCCGGGGACAAACTTTTCGAGTTGCACCCCCCCCCCCCTCGAGATTTCGATTTGCACCCCCCCCCCCAAACTTTCGATTTGTACCCCCTCAACCTTTCAATTTATTTTTCCAACCCATTTTGGCGCCCCCTAAGGTCGGCGCCCGGGGACATATGTCCCCCCCCCCTCGCTACGCTACTGGCGACGCTCGGTCGCCGACCTTGGGGGGGGGGGAGGCTAACCGGGTATTTAAAAAAGCTAATTTCGATTTGTATTCCAAAGTGTTAAAGTTAGAGAGTCAAAGTTAAGGCAGTAGACAACTGCATTACTGGCTGATTTAAAATAATAAAAAGTTCCAAACTTTTACAGACAATTCAATATGTGGCCTATATCGTCGCTTAATTTCTTACTTAAGGTACGCGACTGCATCCTATAGTAGACGGCTGGTAGAGGGTGACACCGGATTTTTAAAATGCGAAACAACCTTGTTCCCGTTGTCTTTGTAAATGTATATGTTACGGTCAAATCCCGAAGTGCGGCCAAAGCCCGCATTGGCCGGCCAATGTGCGCATTAGCCGGCTCTCTTGGCCAAAGCCCGAAAAACTTTTATGACTAAGTTGTGATCGCGTTTTCATTATTTTGGGTGCGGTTTCATTGTGAGTAACCAAAAGTACCGTCAGATCAAGAGACAGATATACCAGATGGCTTCCAAAATAAATAATCCAAATCCTAATGGAAAATAACTTGTGAATCAAGTTATTTGTGAACTATTAAAGAACATGTGGCCTGAACTTAAACTAGTTCACAGAAAACCAAGGCATAGGCATAGCCTATGTTCAGTAGAACGTGCCAACTAAGATGTTCAAAACATGATGATGACATGGATGCAGACAGATGAATCAGCTCATTGGTCTGAGAGTCTTATGAAAAAAACGTAATTTTCATCAAGGGATCCAACAATCGCCATACGAAGCCTTGTTTGGATGCAAAGCAAAAGTGGGACTTGGCACTTCAAAACTACAAAGAGGGGCTCTCGATAATTTAGCTACTAAGGAAGATCTTGCGAACATTGAAAAAGAAATGGAGGTTGCCATAAATGCAACGACATCCTCAGCTAACACATCTCCTGCCGTGGCGGAACGTCAAGACCAGCTGCGTGGTATTAATAAGGCCATCAGATTCTGTGTTGTTAGTGAAAAATATTGTAGTGTAGCCCATTCTTGTGGATTATGTGGCAACGATATCCACGCAATATGCGGAATAGCCAATGAAGCAGACGAAGGGTACGGAGGGAACATTACTTGCAGATTATGTCACAATAAACAAGAAACAATGGACAACAGGTCAGCAGCTCATACTACCTTGCAAACTCAAGTGAAAGTTAGTGGTCGCATCCGTATTCCAGATGTTGACAGAGGTCGCGGTGATCTCCGAAGCGTCATTGCAGTTGGCATGAGCGTCGAGGGCGCTTTCTACAAGCTAGGAACGGAACATGGTGTATTTAAACAACTATAAGCTAGACGTGAGTTTTCAATTCTTCACGAAAAACTGCTCTCATTGTCACCCGTTGGCACTGAGGAAAATCACTACGAACCATCGCATCTTCACAATGACTGACCGGCGACCAAGGCTACATTTACTGCAATTGCACAACCTAGTGCACAACAAATCGCTGCAAGTGTAAAAATAACAATGTAATTCCAAATAATAATCAACAAAGACTGAATTTTTATGATCACTACGGTATAAAAAAAACAAAAATCTGCTTATGATCTTCTAATTCGGACTTATCCCTAGCCAGATGATCTTCTGATTCGGATTGGTCGGCCAAAGACCGAAATCAAGAGCCATTTCAGACTTTGGCCGGTTCACCATGGCCAGTCCGCGGATTGGCCGGCCAAAGGCCGTAATGAAGTAAAGTTTCGAACTTTGGCCGTTCAACGGTAGGCGATATTGGCCAATGCGAGCATTGGCCGGCCAATGCGCGCTTTGGCCGACTTCGGGCTTTGACCGTAACATATATATTGTGTCGATTTCTTTACAAAAAATTGAAATGGATAATTGAGGAACATTACTATTAAATTGTCTATGGTATCATATGCTGTACAGTTATCGATGTTATGACCTCTTTTTCCCCAACAAGATTTTTACTTCCCCTGTTGTACGTAGTCACATTACAAAGATCTATTAATAATAATACGAAAGCGAGTGCTTTTTGAAATTATTTGAGTTTCCCCTTGTATTTTAATGAAGGATAATAAATATGTAAGTTTAAACGTTTAATTAAAATTTTAGTTTAATTTCGTCAATTAGAGCTACCTCTAAAAAACATAAATAAAAAATATCGAGAAAATATATGTAGTATTTAGTATGATACCTAATTTTACTTAGCTTACTAATATTTTCTGATTAAATTAGGGCGATGTATATTGTATTGATTAATAATTAATGTTGTTCTGATAGAGTCTTTTAATGATATTAGAAAAAACAATCACAGTAATTAATTCGCTGTTTTTTCGATTTGCAATTTGTATTTTGTTACCATGGAAATATTAAGTAACAATAATTTAAGCTGTATTTTTCCCAATTTAAATAAGTTAAACGGTAGTTAAACCTAAAGATTGATAGATTTATAAAGAAGGATCTCAGTTTTAGTACAATAGCTCTTCATATATTTTCAAAGTTGACATTAAGTTCATTTTACTACTCTCAAGTTTAAAAAAAAGACTGATCGTAAGCCGCCCTTTCACTTTCATCTGAATACTCCCCCCCCCCCCCATGAAAAATTAGTATAAATGACTGAAACTGCTGACAAAACGTATAATTATTTATTAATATATAGTATATTAAGGCTCATGTTTTTAGGTACCCTTAGGGACTTAAGGTCAGGTGTTAACTTCATGCTTTTTGTTCAGTGTTTAGGTTAGAAATTTATTTATGTTTTTAAATTTTAATATATTTAAATTAATATAATATTGTTTATTAGTTAGACATAGAGTGTTAGAGTAATATACTAATGAATGTTATATCTAGTAGTACATATTGTACTTGTACATATACTTACATATACTATTGCAATTAGGCCTAGTATGGTCGAGATTACTCTTAAGATTTATTAATTTAATTTATTTTTACATTTACATACATTTTTCTTCTTGCTTTTTTTGTTTGGAATTTATTTTAAATTATTAATCTACTTAAAATTACAGATTCACAATGAGTTTTACACCATCAATGATCGAGAACCTGGTGGAGCTTTTTCATGATGAAAATGAAAATTCAGACAGTGATGAAGATAGTGTAAGTGTAATTGTAGTTTTTAAAAATTTGGCCATAGGTTTTCATGTTTTTGTTTTGGTTTTCAATACACTTAAGCTTCAGTATAACTCAAAATACATATTGCATTCCTTGTCCAACAGCCTACAAAAGAAACATTCTCCAAGTTTGGTCCAGGTCATATTGGACCAGAGAAAACATCTGAAGATAACGCACCAGGTATTTTTGTAATAACTAAAGGCAGTTGTTTATGTTTATGTTATGAAATGAAATTTGAAAAATGTATCGTTTACTGATAAAGTATTAGGCAGAGGAATATTACATTCAAAGAAATTTGTGTTAAATGTTTTGTTAGTTCTGTGTATTGAAAATTCTTAATTTAAAATTTTTATTTTTACATTTTTAGTGCAGAATTCTGACAGTAAAGATATCTGGTCAGAATCTGAAGTCCCAGAAGGTTCTGAATTTGATGTAATAGATGATCCTAGACCTCAGCCTGAGTAAGTTATCTGAAGTTTGTTTAAATAAGTTTGTTGTTGAATCTGTAGTTTTTTTTTTAATTCATTTTTTTTTTAAATTTTAAAAATACATTTATTAGGAAACTAACAATTTCAAATTATTTTGTTAGTAATTTACTCTCTAGTGGCTACAAGGTGCACTAGAAAGTAGGTGCATTTCAGAGTGTGATTTTTGTCTTTTAGTCTTTGGTCTGAATATTGGCTTGTTTGAAAACTGTTTTAAAAACAAACAACTTACAGTTGTTGAATGACTTAAATAAGAAAAAGCTTATCACCTGTTAATGACTGTAGTGAATACTTTGTAAAAGATTTAATGTTGTTTTTCTTCCTCTTCTTTTTGAAGATTTTAGTGTAGTTTGTCAAATGTCTACTTTTGAAGAGATGTTTCATAGTTTCACTAGTATAACCTACATGAGTGAATGCATTTTATTACTCCCTAAATCCAACAATTTAGACTGCACAACTCACTCTTGATTGCAGTAGAACTTATCAATTTAAAACATGGATTTAATGTAGGCTAAAGTATAATTTATTAACAAAGTATTTGAGAAATTTTATGATGAGTTAATGGCAGCAAGGTAAGATGAAGATCTGATTTTCTCTAATGTAACATTTCAGGTATGATATATTGTATAGTCAAGCAGTCACAAGCGAGGATATATTTTTACAAATGGGTAACAAGACACCAGCTACATCTAGCTGTGAAAATATGACAGTAAGTGGTGTATTGTTTGTAAATAAATATAAAAACATCACTAAATACTATAAAAAAACTTACAATAAGTGTTGTTTTGTTAATAAATAAACATAAAGACATGCTAATCTTAGTTGATTTTTTAATACAATTTTTGTGTTTGTGTAATAAACTAAATAAATTTTGTTTGTTGAGCATCGTTTTGAGCCTGTGGAATAATTTCAAATTTCCAGATAAAAATCAAACTTCCAAGCACAAAAATGTCAGAGGTAGAATTAGATGTCAAGTCAAAGTTTCTTGATTGCCGTACACCAAACTAGTAAGAAAAATTATTTCGTTTTTTAAAAGGAAAGTTAGTATTTTATATTTTTGGATTTCAAAAGGTTTTATTATCATTTTGATTTATTTTGATAAGGGCCTAAACTTGATGTATAACTTCTGACCCAAATATTAACATCTCATTTCAGTAAACTTGGGCTGCATTTACCTCACCCTGTTGACCACAAGAATGGCAAAGCTCAGTGGGACTCTAAAACAGAAACTCTTATTGTGACTTTAAGAATGGTCAGAGACTTTGACGAATTTAACTTCTAAAAAAAATTAGTGCAATGGTGTATTGCATTTATGCTGGTGCTCATAGTGTTGGCTGTAAGGCAGCAATTTAGTCTGAGATAAAAGTGTCTGTCATTGTATAAAGCTGGTTATATATATATATATATATATATATATATATATATATATATATATATATATATACATACATATATATGTCAGTCTAAGTATAGGTGTACTCATTAATTTAAATGTTTTTAAAAATGAAAAGTGATATCTGAACTGAATGTGATATGGAAGTTAATAAAAATGAATTATACAAGTGTTTGCTTTTTAAAAGTTGAATATATTTTAAACAATTAAACAGATTTTCTGTTGTTAAAATATTGTGTTTTTTTTAAAGTCAAAGTATTAACTGATAATGTAAATAAAATACAAAACAAAAATAATCAAAACTGCATTTTTATAAATTATTTTTTTTTATTTCATATAAAACCATGACTCAATTTAAATAATTATCACAGATCCATTACTAATAGTTCATTAGTGAAGAACTATTGATCAACACAAAAATTACAGATCTCAATTTCTCTTTTTCAAATTAGCTGTCATCTTAAAGAAAACAATAGAAAAATAAGATTCATTTGTTGAATTGCCAAATTCCTGATGTTCAATGAACAGTTTTTTTTTAAAAATAGTAAACATTATTCCCAATTGTCTCCAGTGTTTCTTCCAGACTTTGTTCTCTGGGGGAGGAGGGGCAGGGGGGGGGGGGGGGTTAGACTCTCTGAAGAGAGATGCATGGAAGAAACACTGATTGTCTCAATTAAAAAACAACACTTTTTGTGGAGGTCATTGAAACATTCAAATATAATCTTAAATCACTCAACTTTTAAACATATCTTCAGAATTAATTAAACATTTTTCATTGTGATCAAAGACTTCAATAAAGTTTTGTGTTGATTGAAAATTATAAAAGAAAAACAAACAGGACTTGTGGATATGATACAACAAAGATGACCATTAGACTAATAAATATGTAACACGTTTCAGCAGTAGTTAAGTTGAATAGATTTAAATTAATGCTTTTAACAATTTAAAAAAATTCTATGTAGCTTAAAGTTCAATATTCTATTAACACTTTTACATAATTGAAAAAAAATGAAATTTTTTAAGTATAAAAATGTAAACTTATACAAGATTGTAAAAAATGGAATTTGCTTGGTATACAAATATCAAACAATTAAGTTTTCTAAAAATCCTTTTAGCTTAAAAACCTAGTTACAATAATATATTACAACTTTTACAATTAAAAACATAATTGTAAATAATAGAATTTGCTGTGTATAAAAATGCCATACACTTTAATATACAGACTGTCAAAAAATATTAATACAATCAAAATAATACTTGTACATAAAATCAGCAGTATAGTCAAAATGGAATTTACAGTAAACTTTTTCCTAAAATAAGCATTTATGCATAGTTGTGCATTTTCCCCCCAGTAAATGATGGTCTTTTATTTTTAAAGTATAAAATTACTGTATCATGGGGCACGGTTTTAAAATAATTTTCTTTTTCAACATTTCTAGGCAAAGTGAATCTTTACACTGTAAATGAAAGGTTCACCCTGTAATGATTTTATTTGGTCTGGTCTGAATATCCACTGCTCTTTTATAATCTTCAATGGCTTCTGCTCTTCTACCCAGTTTTCCTCTAATGTCAGCTCTTCGCTTCAACATTAGGGCATCATCAGGCTTCAACTCTAGGGCTGTGGATAAACATAATATGGACCATGTTAATCATTGGCTTAGAAACTTTAATGAATGGACTATTTGATTGACAATTTTGTGTTCTATTGATACAAACACAACAATAGTATAGGTATTTCTAACACAGATTAAATAAGTCAAAATATTTATTAATATCTGTGTATAAAAATCCTAATAACTGTTTTAGGAAATAAGCTAGACTATTAGTTGGGTGACTTTGCATTGCACTGATACAAATATTTAGTAGTTATATAACAAATGAGTGTAGGGACTACTAATACAGCACATATTAAATAAGTTATCTCCCTTTATTTCAACTTATTGGTAAAGAGTAGGGACACATAATGTATTATAACAATTTCTCTTTGTGAGAAATATAAAGGTTATTTTTTTAAAAAAAACCTATTGATTAATATATAAATATTCCACATACAACATTTTCCTTAAATTTAGATAATAGATTTACTAAAACAAATATGTATGCTAATTGGTACATATGACTGAAAGTGACTATTTTTACCTCTGGTGTAATCTATCTCTGCCATTTCATACTGTTGCATTGATGCATACAAGTTAGCTCTGTTGAAGTAGATATGGGCTGAATAGGGACTCAACTTGGCAGCAGCTTCAAAATCTTCTAAGGCGCCTTTTGTATCATGTAACAAAACCTATGAAAAAGGAAAATACTTTTTAAAAAGCTATTCTTAACAGACATGGGGCAGAGTGTCTGAGCAGTGCGCCACATCTAACCTGAAAGTCTAGAGTTTGAATCTCAGTTTTAAGTCTGTAGGATGACTTTGAGTCCACCTGAGCTCTAATTGGTACCAGACTAAAGTTTGGGAGAGTAAAGGTGGCTACATTATACCTTCATATGCTGTGGTAAAACAAACAGATGACCTTTACTTTATCTGCCCTATGGTCTGTCAAGTCAGGTTTGAAAGGATAACTCTACTTACACTTTGAGTTAATATTTTAGACTTACAGTACTTTTTTGTTAGCCATTCATTTAGTCAGGTCTGAAAGGATAACTCTACTTATACTTTGAGTTAATATTTAAGACTTACAGTACTTTTTTGTTAGCCATTCATTTAGTCAGGTCTGAAAGGGTAACTACTTATACTTTAGAGTTAATATTTAAGACTTACAGTACTTTTTTGTTTGCCATTCATTTAGTTCAGTTGTTGAAATCAATGATACAGAGTTACCAGAAATGTACACAGTGTTTACATTTAGCTAGACTCTTTTCAGTTTAAACATGACTTATTTACATTACAATTAGCATATTTTGTTTAATTAACTCATTAACACAATATTTTTCTGTCACCCTACAAAAAATTGACTGTTTTTTTTTCAATTATTTATGTTAAAATTAAAAGGTTCTATATTTAAACATGTAAAAAGTGTATATTTAAAAAATGTATACTCTACCTTCGTAATGGCACAATTAAGGAAAGCAGATTCATCATTTGGATTGTACTTAATAGCTTTGGTGTAATAGTCCAAGGCCTGAAGAAATTTGTTACAAAATTTAAAAACTGAACACAATTTTAACAAAACAGTACATTTTTCACACGGTTTACAAAACATAAAAAAACTCACATAAAGTGTGCAATAAATAATATTGAAGATTTGAATAAAATAAAATAGATTTTATTTTAGTTAATTTTAGTAATATTTAAGAATTAATACACATTGTAATACCAATTGAAGAAATCATGAAAGACATTTTTTATGTGTATTGTAAGCTCAGAAGTAAACAAAAAAAAAACAACTTAATTCACCTGTTTAAAATGTCTGGTATGAAAGTAAACATTCCCTGCATTGAAATATGCCAGTGAGAAGGTGGGATCAAGTTTTATTGCCCTTTGGTAATCTTGCATGGCTAAAACACTGTCTCCCATAAACTGAGAATAAAAATAATCAACGTAAAAAAGTAGCACTTAAACACATCTTCTTTTTGTTCTTAATTGTAATGTTGATTTCCTCCAACATAATTAAGTATTATGTGTCAACATTGTTATATGTTGCCCATTGACTCAAACTTCAACCTGCTTTTCTTTCTGAATGTGATTCCATAGCATAGTTCAACCAAAAACAATATGCAAGGTAACAGGTGTTTGGTATTTTAGACCTCATTACAGTGCCTCATCTCTTCAGGGGTCTGAACTAGGGGCATTTGGGTTAGCAATTATGTGCTCTCCCACCCGACCACGCCATCCTCTAAAACTACACCTGACACTGAGTTTAGTAGTAAAAAAATACAGGAGACTTGTTGCTATCATAGATGGAGATGTCTGTATCACGAGCTACATCAAACAGTGAGTAGAAATACTTTTTTACAATCCATAGCTCAAGACAGGTGAGTGAGGCTCAGCTATGTCCTAAAATTTCAAGGTTAAATTTCTGGAGTGACCAAAACTTAACCTGAAGACTTAGAGTTAGTGTTAGCTAATGCTTTACTGAGAACTTAACCTGAAGGCTTAGAGTTAGTTAGCTAATGCTTTACCTGAGAACTTAACCTGAAGGCTTAAAGTTAGTGTTAGCTCATGCTTTACCTGAGAACTTAACCTAAAGGCTTAGAGTTAGTGTTAGCTAATGCTTTACCTGAGAACTTAACCTGAAGGCTTAGAGTTAGTTAGCTCATGCTTTACCTGAGAACTTAACCTAAAGGCTTAGAGTTAGTGTTAGCTAATGCTTTACCTGAGAACTTAACCTGAAGGCTTAGAGTTAGTTAGCTCATGCTTTACCTGAGAACTTAACCTAAAGGCTTAGAGTTAGTGTTAGCTAATGCTTTACCTGAGAACTTAACCTGAAGGCTTAGAGTTAGTTAGCTCATGCTTTACCTGAGAACTTAACCTGAAGACTTAGAGTTAGTGTTAGCTCATGCTTTACCTGAGAACTTAACCTGAAGACTTAGAGTTAGTGTTAGGTAATGCTTTACCTGAGAACTTAACCTAAAGGCTTAGAGTTAGTGTTAGCTAATGGTTTGCCTGAGAACTTAACCTGAAGACTTAGGGTTAGTGTTAGCTCATGCTTTACCTGAGAACTTAACCTAAAGGCTTAGAGTTAGTGTTAGCTAATGGTTTACCTGCTGGACAACACCCCTATTGGTCAGGAGTTCAGCCGTTGGTCCATAGTTTACTGAGGTGTTGATGTCCTGGAAAGCTCCGAATGTGTTGCTCATTTGAAGATTGACTATAGCTCGGCCCTCCAGGGCTGGTTTGTAGCCTACGAGGGAAGAGAAATTAAACATTAAAAACAACCAGAGTAATGTGCCTTGGAAGAAGACACCAAGAAGATTGGATACACCTGGGGACAGTCGGAGAGACTAGCCCACAGCAAAAATGCCTGGAAAGCTCTGTCCCACAAAGCAAACTATTTGCAAAAGATCAAAATTATAATGTAAGGACGTATGTGTAAAAATACAATTTAAAATAATTTATTCACTTTTTAGCAGTTAAAATTTTTTATAAAGTCATGTTATTATAGTCATGTTATTATTATGAAAACAAAAAACTATCATAAGAATTTATCAATATCTTCCTTTCATGTATCGCTGAAACTCAATATAAACTTATAACATATAAATAAAGCAACTTTATGCTTTGTGTATTCAATAGCAATATACCAATGTAAATATACAATGTACCTATGCATAGAATTAAATATACCGACATATTTGTGCGCACCTGGTCTTAAATCAATGACAGCTGTAAAATGCTTCCACGCCTGCATCAGTTTGCCAGACACCTGCGCAGTGTATGCCAGGTTGATACGGGCAGGTAGACAAAGTGGGTCAAGCCGCAAAACGCGCTGGTAGTCTCTCCTGGCCATCTCAAGGCCCACATCATGGCCGTAGTCCATGAAGACATTACCTCTGGCGATCAAACCATCCAGGAAAAATGGTTTCAGCTGGAGGCACTTGGTGAAGGTGGACACAGCCTCTTTCAGTCGACGAAGTCTTCAAAAAAAATCAAGCAAATTATTAAGAAACGAGAGGAAATGGCCTAAAAAAGAAAAAAAACACTCCTATTTAAAAAAAAAAGTCATTTGTTTATCTCTTTCCTTTCACTCTCCAAAAACCAAAAAATACAAATGCTTAAATCTGAAAAATCACTTCATATTTATTCCCCCCCCCACCCCCCATACTATTCTTGGCTTGTTCTGCATTTGGAATTTATTTAGTTGTCCCTTTTATTAAACTAGAGTTTTTGACTGACTAACTTAGCCTATTGTTATATAGGATGATTTGATAATCATATATACAAGATGGATGCTTGAAATTAGGCCTAATAAAAACATCAATTATTATATCAGGGCTTGTTTTCTCCTGTAAAGTATAAAAATACATATTTTTAAAGCCTTGATTATAAAGAAGTGTGTGTAAATAGTCATTACTTATGCAAACAAAGCCCCAATGTATGGTGTATCCTGTGGTCACTTGGGTTTAGTTTGGCTGCAGCTTCAAAGTCATACAAGGCATTTAGGTAATCTTTTTTTTCAAAGTACAACAAGCCTCGGTTGGTAAGTACCTGGCGGAGAGAAAAATGATAATAATAAATAACAAGCTGACCTGTGGCGTAGCATACACCGCTATTTTGTTGTTTTCAGTAATTCATAATTTGGGAATTCGACACTACCCTCCCCTCCCCCCCCCCCCCCCCCATTTGGGTTAGGGTTAAATAGAATTGCTTTACTAACAAGCAACCTTCTCCCATATAGAAGCTAATGAAACATAAAATACATGTACCTTGAGTATCACAGAGTGGCCTAGCGGTAGAGCACTAGTGTGATAAAACTATCGAGTTCGAGTCCAGTTTTAAGTTAGTAAAATGTCCTTGAGTCCACCCTGCTCTAATGGGTACATGACTCACTTTAGAGAAAGTAAAGGTGGGTGTTCATAGTGCTGACTACACCATTTCTTCATATGCCAAGGTCATGAAAAATATAAACTCTACTTCATCTGCCAAATGGATCGCAAGAGGACTTTTTACTTTATTTTTTTACCTTGAGTTCCAGCATGTCCCCCAGCAACAGGACAATACTGTAGTCTGTGAGAGCTCTCTCATGCTGACCATTCTCATGGTAGCAGACGGCTCTGTTGAAGTAGGGCAGGGGGCACTGGGTGTCTATGGTGGTAGCCTTGGTCAAATCCAAGATGGCCAGGTCGTAGGCTTTGATGTAGTACTTCAGTGCACCCCTGAGGTGAAAACAATTATTGAAATAAAAATTTAATCCTAAACAAAATTAAAATACAAACATAAAGTAATGCATTATATTATTTTTAGACTTTAAGATTATGAGTCAAAGGAGTAACATATTTTTACCTATACAGATAAGCTCTAACACTCTTTGGCTGTAGTTTAATGGCCTCATTGCAGTTGAGAATTGCTTTGGCGTATTTCCCTTTCTGTCCGTAATAGCATGCTCTACTTAAAAATGCCTTTAAAAAATAAGTTAATTTTTTTAAGCTCCAGATTTTAAAATTTCCCATGAATTTTCAACAATTTAGAGATTAAAGCAAAAAATGTATTAAAAATTAAAAATACATTATTATAAGTCATTAATATAAATTATTTTAATACATAGCATAATTTTTTTTAATTTGTAAAACTTAACTGATACAGACATTTTAAAAGAGATTTTACATTTGCCAGGCTTGGTTGTTTCAATTACCTGGAATATTTTTGGGTTCAGAGCTAAGGCCTTGTTGAAGTCTTGTATTCCCTTTGCTTGTCTCAGCTTCACTGATGCTAACCCTCTCTGGTAGTAGGCCTGTACATGAGAGATTAAATTCTTTGATCACCTGTAAATGTTTTAACAGTACTTTGTCTCTGATGTTATTATTGCCAAGAGCAGAGAATAAACTTGTTGTTCTCCTGGATCAGCCTGTGTAATACTGGAGTTGTCTACCTCAGAGCTTTAAAATCTGATTTTTCTAAGTGAACTGGAATGTTTCCTTAGAGTTTTCATTCAGTAATCAACACTGTCATTTTAAATATGACTAAATGTAAATATTAAGCACTATACAACAATATACTCAAACTTTCTTAATTAGGAGATCTGAGTTAGATTTTATGGGACTGAACTGTACCAATTATTTTCATGTTAAACATTGCAAATGCTATTTGAAACAAGTCCCCAGTTTTTTTCTAATTTGCCAAGAGGAGTTAAAATAAAACTACAGAAACTAAGAACTCCTGCCACTGTGAATAAATATCTAATGAGTAATTAAAAAATTAAAACCAGTATAATTAAGCGTAAATGAAACAATGATAACATTTAGTATTTACAACCAGCTTACATCAGCATAAGAAGGGTTGAACTTGATAGCATAGTTGAACTGTAGATGAGCCTCGCTGTAGTTCCTCAGCTCCATCAGACACAGACCTGAGAGGTAGTGAGCCTCGGCTGTCTCGGCAGGCCAAACGTCTCCTTTCTTCCATGGCATCTTCAAGATAAACATTTAGTTTAGTTATAGTAAACGTAAGATATTTTTTTATTAAAAAAAAAAAAATTAAGGCAGGATTGAGATTTTAAAAAAAAAAGCGGAATAAACCTTTAATAAATCATGAACATAAAAAATTGTATTGATTTTAGATGTTTGATCAGAAAAAACAACCAAAATAATGAAATTAAAAAAATTAAATAATAAAATCAAAGTTAAAAAGCATTATTATTACAAAACAAAGACAGTATGTAAAAAAAAAAGTTTAAAGTTTACCAAGCTTAATATTATAATAAGTATAATGGTAACTCTCCACAACACAGAACACACAAGAAATTAATTCAAATTTTTGTGAACACATCCACACACCACTTAAGTCCAGCACAAATAAAGACTAAAACAAACAAACTTTACAATTTGAGTAATGCTAAAAGTAAGACTAAATAATGTATTTTAATTTATAAAAGATCAAAATATCCACTCAGTGATCAGTTACATTATTTTATGTCAAGATTTTTACAGGGAGGTAAACAAAGCTGTACCATTTTCTCTAAAGCCAGCTTAAAGCTGTCCGCGGCTTCCTTAAACTGTTTGGCTTTCATGTAAGTTTTACCCAGCAGCATGAAGGTAGACATTGAGGGCTTGACTCGAGCTGCTTGCTGCAGGGCATCCACAGCCTGGGGGTGGGGAAACACAGAGGTTGTTGTTTAAAGTAGCACATGTGATTCATGTAATATAGTGGTCAGCTTATTCATGTAATTGAGTGGTCAGGTGGTTTATGTAACAAAGTGGTCATCTGTTTAATGTAAAAAAAGTGATCCACTGATATATATAACTAAGTAGTCAGCTGATTCATTGAAGATAATGGTCAACAAAGTTTGGGATTGTCCTTAACAGATGTCACACAGGGGGGGGGGGAGAGTTCAGACTTTTTTAACAATATGAATGTGTGATCGCATTTAAAAAAAATATAAGTTATTTTAAGAAACAGAACTTCAGTTATTTTATGTTTCTTAAAGACTTTTAAAAAATGAACTGAAATAAAAATTGATCAATACACTCAAAGTCAACAATTCTCAGTTAATATTTTAGAAAGAAATAGCTGTTTTCACAAAGAAAAGTTGTAATTTTGAGCATTGTGCTAGGCTGTAGTGTGATGTAATTTGGAGGGGGCTGGAAGATATCTGGCATTTTGGGATAATGTTTGATGATAGGAAGGGGAGGGTGGGTCATTTTAAAAGTCTGATGTTATTTATGGATGCATTCGACATTTAAAAGTTTGTTTTAAAATGTATTTTCAGAAAGGAAATCATATGTTGTGTAAGAAATATAAAAAGAAGATAATTTATTGGACCTTGTCGTAGTTTTTGAGGAAAGACTGGACGATTGCTTGTTGTGTAGGCGATACTCCAGCTGTACTGTTTGGATTGTCTGCCCCTAGCTCTGAAGAATGCCTCACACAGAATGCAGCAAGTTCAAGGTTACCCAGTTCTAGCACCAGTTGACCCTGAGGTGAATGGAACCATTTAGTTAGTTAATCTATCACACAAGCCAACAAAAGAAAAACTGAATTAGAATGTATAAGTGTGAACATCTCACCCGGTATGTGTATGAATTAGAATGTATAAGTGTGAACATCTCACCCGGTATGTGTATGAATTAGAATGTATAAGTGTGAACATCTCACCCGGTATGTGTATGAATTAGAATGTATAAGTGTGAACATCTCACCCGGTATGTGTATGAATTAGAATGTATAAGTGTGAACATCTCACCCGGTATGTGTATGAATTAGAATGTATAAGTGTGAACATCTCACCCGGTATGTGTATGAATTAGAATGTATAAGTGTGAACATCTCACCCGGTATGTGTATGAATTAGAATGTATAAGTGTGAACATCTCACCCGGTATGTGTATGAATTAGAATGTATAAGTGTGAACATCTCACCCGGTATGTGTATGAATTAGAATGTATAAGTGTGAACATCTCACCCGGTAGGTGTATGAATTAGAATGTATAAGTGTGAACATCTCACCCGGTATGTGTATGAATTAGAATGTATAAGTGTGAACATCTCACCCGGTATGTGTATGAATTAGAATGTGTAAGTGTGAACATCTCACCCGGTATGTGTATGAATTAGAATGTATAAGTGTGAACATCTCACCCGGTATGTGTATGAATTAGAATGTATAAGTGTGAAAATCTCACCCGGTATGTGTATGAATTAGAATGTGTAAGTGTGAACATCTCACCCGGTATGTGTAATACTGTTGAACATCTGGATACAGGTGGATAGCTCGAGTAAAATCTTTTAAGGCGTTCTTTGCCTTTTGTAAACATAAAGAAAGATTATATTTTCAAAGGTAAAAAAAAACAAATTTATTTCATTAAAAAAATGAGCATTGATGTCATTACCTTTTAAAAATACCTTAATAAGAACCAAAATAAGTGTGAACAATAAACAGATACAAAATTTTCCACATTATAAAAAACAATGAATTTCAAGACTATAAACTTTAGCTTCTTAATACAAAAAGCAGTTACATCTAGCTTCTATCTGTTTTAATTGTTGCATATGATTGGATTTTAATGAATTGAATTTGAAAAAACAGGCTAACCTCGTGAATTTTGTGGTAAGCTGTAGCACGACAGACATAGGCTCTGACATAGGTGGGATCAACTTTGATTGCAGCCGTAAACTTTTTGATAGCTCTTTTGAAAAGAAAAGATTTTTTTTTCAGAAGTGCCTTGTTTGACACATAATCTGGCACATAAAATATATAAAAAAAATTTTTTTTTTACTGCAGGCTTATAGTTAGAGCTTATCACATTTAAAAAAAAAATGTTAATCATAATAAAATATGTATTTATGAAAAAATGACTGAATGACTTTCTGACCTCTGAAAATTGAAGTGCCTGGTCATAAATATCAAGCCCAGATTTACATGAGCAGCTGCCAGGTCTTTGTTCAGCTTTAGCACACTTTCAAAATCTGGTATAGCATCGTCTGGCCTGGTAGGATCAAAGTGAAAAAAGAAAAGAAAATAAGTTATAATGGGTGAATGAAATTTTTTTTATTGTTTAAGTCTCTCACAGTTGGTGTTACAAAAACATGTACTTGTTTGTCCTAACAGCGATGAAAAGATAAAAATAATCAACATGTAATGTGAAGATCTTGACGTAATAGTACTGGGGGGAAAAGTCCAATGGATGTTCCTGAGTTCAACCAGCTCTGATGGATATCTGACTCCAGTCAGGGAAAGGGTATGTGCATAGTGCTTAATAAATAACCCTTAAAGACAGAGCTCAAATACTTTTGTATGTTAACTATACTTCATCTGTGTTTATAGGTAATTTTTTATTGAAAAAAAAGTGAAACTGGGGTTATTGTAGATCTCTGTTTGTTAAAAGAGAAATCCAGTCTACAATGTGACCAAGAAAATAAAAAGTGAGATGAATAACAAGCAAAGAAGATAAATAAATATTCTCAGCACTTGCCTGCCCAGTGTGTTGTACAGAATACCACGATGAAGAAAAGCCATGATGTTTTCTTCTGAGTCATTCAGCAGCAGTGAGACACTAAAGTCTTGTAGCGCTCTCTCAGGGTGGGCTCTGGTATAGGAAACAAATGTTTCATATCAGTCATGTGTGAGGGGATGGCATAGAGGGCATGAGGATAGCACCTGACAACTTAGCACATGTGCTAGTGCATCATGGGGTCCAGATTTTTGTTAAAACCAAGGGAGGACATGAAAATTTAGCACATGTGCTGGTGCATTATTAAGTCCAGGATTTAGATAACCCACCTAGAACTAAAAACTTAGCACATGTGCTGGTGCGTCCTGGTGTTTTGACAATTTGTTGACCCACCTAGACCTGACAACATAGCACATGTGCTGGTACATCATGAGTCCAGACATTTGTTAACCCAGCTAGACCTGACTTAACAGCACCTGTGCTAGTAACAGATGTTGGTGCATCATGGGTCCAAACCTTTGTTAACCCACCAAGACCTGACAACTTAGCACATGTGCTGGTGCATCATGGGGTCCAGACATTTTGTTAACCCAGCTAGACCTGATCTAACAGCACCTGTGCTAGTGACAGGTGCTGGTGCATAATGGGTCCAAACCTTTGTTAACCTACCTAGACCTGACCTAACAGCACATGTGCTGGTGCATCATGGAGTCTAGATCTTTGTTAACCCATCTAAACCAGTAAATTTAGCACCTGTGCTTTTGTTAACTCAACTAGATCTGACAACTGAGCACATGTGCTAGTGTATCATGGAGTCCAGACATGTTGTTAACCCACCTAATCCTAAAAACTTAGCACCCTTGCTGGTGCATCATAAAGTCCAGACTTTTGTTAACTCAATTAGACCTGACAACTTAGCACCTGCGCTGGTGCATTATAGATTCCAGACAAATTGCTAACCCACCTTCTGAGTATGCAGCCCCTCTGGTAGAAGGCCTGCCAGTTAAAAGGGTCCAGATGTATGGCAGCACTCAGGTCCTCAACAGCTGGCACCCAGTTGTTCATCTTGGCGTAAGCTCGTCCTCGGAACAGTCTGGCAGTGGAGTTGAGTGGGTCCACTCGCAGCAAGGCAGTAAAATCATGGATGGCATGGTTCCAGTTTCTAGATCAAAATTTGTGTCAAATATTAACCAAATCAAAATGAGACTTTAAAATTGAAAATATTTCCACAAACTTTATTTAGTTTTAATAATAAATTTTATTTAAAAATGATTAAATACAAGAATAATTATTTAAAAACTCAACAATACGAACTAAAAATTAAAAATTAAATTTAAAAATATAATTTATAAACAATACATAATGGGACGGAGTGGTCTAGCGGTAGAGAGCTGGACTGCTAACCCGTAAGTCTTGAGTTCGAATCCGGGTTCAAGTCAGTAGACCGTCCCTGAGTCCACTCAACTCTGATGGGTACCTAACTCACGTTAGGGAAAGTAAAGGCGGCTGGGCATAGTGCTGACCACACTATCTCTTCATATGCCGAGGTCACAGAAACAAGTGAACTCTACTTCACTTGCCCCATAGACCGTCAAGTTTGAAAGGGAAACTTTACTTTACTTTACATAATTAAAATCAACAAGATTACAAGACAGAAAATATACACATTCAGTAACTGTCTTTATGACACTTGTATGTGGTGTAAAATTCTTTCATTGTAAGTAGATATTAATTTTAGCATTAAAAAAATAAGTTGACACTCCATTATATCAAGGTTTATGTTCATTTTAACAATAGGTCTAGCTTTTTAAAGACTGTATTTATTTTAAAGTGTTTAGCATTTACAAAGACAAAACTAACAAATATTAACAGGTGTGACCATACTTTGGGCATGCATAACTGCAAAATATATATATGTACTGTATAGTAAAGGCTTAAAAATATAGAAAATAAAATCTCACTCATTTTCAAAATAGTACATTCCATGTTTCATGATAGCATCAGTGCGTGAGGGCATTATTGTCATGGCTTTGGTGTAATCCTCCATGGCCAGCAGCATCTCTCCTCTCTGTTTAAAGAATGTTCATTGAAATAGATAAATTATATATAAAATGGGTATATTAATACTTTATTAATTATTAGTTAACTGTATGTGTGCCCCCCCTGCCTCCCAGTATCACAAAATTTATCAGAAATTCAAATGAATAGAAAGTTAATGTTTGTATTAGTAAACAGAAAAAATGTATCAATGTAAACAATATTGTTTTACAAGAAAGGGTTGTGGAGAGTAGTGATTCAATGTCATAAATGTAAAAATGAGAGGTGGGGATGGGGGTGGAGAGGGAGGCAGGGGAGTGGAGAGGGGAAAAAAAGGGGAAATGGAAGATCAGCTTACTCTATTACATAATATATCTTACAGTATTATCTCATTATCTTTTCCCATTTGTGCACAAGACATGGGGCAGATGCAGTAGAGTTCATCAATTTTAATGACTTTGGCACATAGGGAATAGCCTATCATCATGATGCGCAGCCACTTTAGTTTCCCTGTTGTGTGTTAGGCACTCATAAGAGCTGTATGGACATTATACAGACTTGAGCCCGGGATCCAAACTCAAGCCCTTCGGGTTAGCAGTCATATGCTCTACCATTCGACCACGCTGTCCCCACTCAATATTACTCAATAATTTAACAAGATAACATGCAATTAAAAGAAATTAATACAGATGAAACTGAAGTGAATTCACCAACTTGTTCATATAGTTGTGCCCTCTGGTAATAAGCTTCATGGTCAGTTGGGTTGTACTTGATGGCAGAGGAATAATTAATAATGGCCATGGTGATGTCTTCTTGTTTTCTGTGGATCTCAGCCCTAAATAGGAAATAAAAGGAAATCAAAGATTGTTTTATAAATAAAATGACTCATTTTTTTTAATAACATATAAGAAGATAAAGATTTGTTAGATAAGCTAAAATAATGACTTAAATTTGAAGCACTGACATTAAACAAATTCATGCATAATTCTAAAAATGTGAACATAATTTATTAGGATAATAAATTATGTGTGTTTATTCTTTTACTTCCAAGAAATAATAAATTGGCTTTTATTTTCAGAGTAATTTATAATGGCTCAAATATAAAGCAAAAATTTTCATTCATAGTTAATAAACTTTTTTGATTTAAAAATGCAATAAACTCTTTATCTTGTGTAGTTTCCAAACAAAAAATAAATTATACTTGTTTTAACAAATGTTTTTAGCATTCAAAATAACTTTCTTTAATAAAATCACCAACAAAAAACTATTACTAGGGTATTCCTCAACTGAAAGGATTATTTAATAGTTAAGAGTCTTCTTACATAGATCGGTATGCCCCTGAATGGTTTTTGTTCTTTTTCATGATGAAATTCAAGTCATCCACAGCTTCTGTTTTCCTGTCTTGTAGAATGTACAGGAGATGGCGGTGCCAATAAGCATCCAGGAGGTCTGGTTCTAATTTTATTGCTCTGGGAAGGAAGATATCAAAGAAAAACATTTAATTGTGAAGCTTAAAAACAATTAAATATATTAAAAGTTTAAAATAATGATTAACATGGAATAATTAATCTTTCTTCTTCTTCTTCGTTCTTAATTATTAGTGTTGAAGGGGATCGAGATTTATCTGCCAGTGGGTTTGAACTCGAGACTTTGTTTTAATTTATCAACCATGAGCTTTTTGCCGACTCAACCACGCCTCCAACACAATTAAGCGGTACGTGTCAACTGGTTATGCGCCATTGAGGCCGTTGACTCCGATTTCAGCCTGCTTTTCTTTTTGGATTTGCTTCCATAGCCTTTGTCTAATCAAGAACAAACTACAAGGCAGCAGTTGTTTAATTTTGGAGTTGTCTCTCCTAGAAGAGTGGCTGTCCCCAGCTAACGAGCCTCATTTGCCCAAGGGTTCGAACTCGAGACTTTTTGGTTTAGCAACCATGAGCTTTACCGACTCGACCACGCCGACCCCAGTTTAAAATAATGATTAACATGCAATAATTAATAAAAACAGTAATATTTTTGTTGATGAGGTAAACAACAATGGCTGTACAAAAGGGATAAGAAATATATTTGACAATTATGTAAAAATAGCACCTGTCCAAGTCAATTTGTGCTTTTTTCAACTTCCCAATCTGTGAATACAAAAATTTTATTATTAAAATTTTACATAATTAAAAACACAGCTCAAAAGTTTTAAATTATTTGCATAATTCAACAATTGGGATGGAATATTTAAATATTGATTTATTTTACAATTGCTTTTAATTTTTGTTTTAAAAGCATTGATGTGTAAATAAATAATTTTCATCACAAAAATGCACATGATACAACATATGTAGAAGAACAGAGTTATTTACCTTGAAGTAACTTACCTTTCTGTACAAAGCTCCCCTCCTACACAAGTCAAAAGCAGTTGGGTTCTGCATACTGTCAATAACTTTTGATAACTTGTCAATTTCATCCACCAGAATCTATAAAAATAAACTTTGAGCTAATTTTCACCAGCGACTAATATTTCTAAACTAAATACTTAAATCTCTTAACAACGTATATGACTACTTTTTTTTTAATTAATAAAAGATTCATTTTATTTAATAGATTAATATTTTAATTAAAAAGAATCTGAATCTTGATGCTAAAACTTTTAAAATATTATGGTTAATTTTTAAAACAAGAATAATAATTATATTTTTTTAAAACAGACATTACCTGAAAAATTTCAGCATTTTCAGGTGTATTTGTAATGGGATCAATCTCTTCGATATCTTGAACAAGAACATCTGATATCACGTCTTTTTTCCTTCAAAATCACATTACATAAAAGAACAAGCATAAGCATAATGAAAAAAAGATTAGATTTCTAGTAAAATTTCAATTAAGATTTGTAATCTTTGTATGCAACTGTAAAAATTGTAAATTATGCTGCAAATGTAGTTTGTTTAAATTTAATAAATCATAAACACCTTCCTTAAAATGAAACATTTGTTGGTAATTTTTACTCTATTTTCTGCCACCCTTTCATCAAAGTTCATCATACTTAGCTGTCCCTCCACCGTATAATGATGTCTCAAAGTTCCACCCTTTTCCCCACTCCCACCAAATAATTAGAATTCTAATAAATAATAAAGCAACACATTTTTCAAAAAATTTTATATCTAAAAAATACATCCTATTTATGCGTCCTTGCATGGTAGCTCAGTCCCTAGTCTAAATATCACACCCCTCTTTCCCCACCCCTCACAGTATGTGATATTATGCTTGTATAGACACAACTATACCACTATTCATTAGTAGCAATAATACTTTATATCAGAAATGAACTATGAGTTTTAACTTGATCTTACGATTTTTTCTTCTCCTCGTTAAGATTTTCTGCATGTGAGTACAGATCAGTTTCCTCTTCCTCCTCTTCCAGGTCAGACCCAGTGGGGGTGGGAGGGAAAACCTGATCAAACCAGGTGTTCCAAATTCCTCGCACCCACTCCCTCTCATCCTCTCCAGCTCTGAGGTGAGAGAAAAAAACTCAGGTGAGAGAAAGTTCATACAACTCAGGTGAGAGAAAGTTCATACAACTATGTTGACAGAAAGTTCATACAACTCAGGTGAGAGAAAGTTCATACAACTCAGGTGAGAGAAAGTTCATACAACTCAGGTGAGAGAAAGTTCATACAACTCAGGTGAGAGAAAGTTCATACAACTCAGGTGAGAGAAAGTTCATACAACTCAGGTGAGAGAAAGTTCATACAACTCAGGTGAGAGAAAGTTCATACAACTCAGGTGAGAGAAAGTTCATACAACTCAGGTGAGAGAAAGTTCATACAACTATGTTGACAGAAAGTTCATACAACTCAGGTGAGAGAAAGTTCATACAACTCAGGTGAGAGAAAGTTCATACAACTCAGGTGACAGAAAGTTGTTACAACTCAGGTGACAGAAAGTTGTTACAACTCAGGTGGGAGAAAGTTCATACAACTCAGGTGAGAGAAAGTTCATACAACTCAGGTGAGAGAAAGTTCATACAACTCAGGTGAGAGAAAGTTCATACAACTCAGGTGAGAGAAAGTTCATACAACTCAGGTGAGAGAAAGTTCATACAACTCAGGTGAGAGAAAGTTCATACAACTCATGACAGAAAGTTGTTACAACTCAGGTGACAGAAAGTTGTTACAACTCAGGTGACAGAAAGTTGTTACAACTCAGGTGGGAGAAAGTTCATACAACTCAGGTGAGAGAAAGTTCATACAACTCATGACAGAAAGTTGTTACAACTCAGGTGACAGAAAGTTGTTACAACTCAGGTGACAGAAAGTTGTTACAACCCAGGTGGGAGAAAGTTCATACAACTCAGGTGAGAGAAAGTTCATACAACTCAGGTGAGAGAAAGTTCATACAACTCAGGTGAGAGAAAGTTCATACAACTCAGGTGAGAGAAAGTTCATACAACTCATGAGAGAGAGTTCATACAACTCAGGTGAGAGAAAGTTCATACAACTCAGGTGAAAGTTCATACAACTCATGAGAGAAAGTTCATACAACTCAGGTGAGAGAAAGTTCATACAACTCAGGTGAGAGAAAGTTCATACAACTCAGGTGAGAGAAAGTTCATACAACTCATGAGAGAGAGTTCATACAACTCAGGTGAGAGAAAGTTCATACAACTCAGGTGAGAGAAAGTTCATACAACTCAGGTGAGAGAAAGTTCATACAACTCATGAGAGAAAGTTCATACAACTCAGGTGAGAGAAAGTTCATACAACTCAGGTGAGAGAAAGTTCATACAACTCAGGTGAGAGAAAAAAACTCAGGTGAGAGAAAGTTCATACAACTCAGGTGAGAGAAAGTTCATACAACTCAGGTGAGAGAAAGTTCATACAACCCAGGTGAGAGAAAGTTCATACAACTCAGGTGAGAGAAAGTTCATACAACTCAGGTGAGAGAAAGTTCATACAACTCAGGTGAGAGAAAGTTCATACAACTCAGGTGAGAGAAAGTTCATACAACTCAGGTGAGAGAAAGTTCATACAACTCAGGTGAGAGAAAGTTCATACAACTCATGAGAGAAAGTTCATACAACTCAGGTGAGAGAAAGTTCATACAACTCAGGTGAGAGAAAGTTCATACAACTCAGGTGAGAGAAAGTTCATACAACTCAGGTGAGAGAAAGTTCATACAACTCATGAGAGAAAGTTCATACAACTCAGGTGAGAGAAAGTTCATACAACTATGTTGACAGAAAGTTCATACAACTCAGGTGAGAGAAAGTTCATACAACTCATGAGAGAGAGTTCATACAACTCAGGTGAGAGAAAGTTCATACAACTCAGGTGAGAGAAAGTTCATACAACTCAGGTGAGAGAAAGTTCATACAACTCAGGTGAGAGAAAAAAACTCAGGTGAGAGAAAGTTCATACAACTCAGGTGAGAGAAAGTTCATACAACTCAGGTGAGAGAAAGTTCATACAACCCAGGTGAGAGAAAGTTCATACAACTCAGGTGAGAGAAAGTTCATACAACTCAGGTGAGAGAAAGTTCATACAACTCAGGTGAGAGAAAGTTCATACAACTCAGGTGAGAGAAAGTTCATACAACTCAGGTGAAAGTTCATACAACTCATGAGAGAAAGTTCATACAACTCAGGTGAGAGAAAGTTCATACAACTCAGGTGAGAGAAAGTTCATACAACTCAGGTGAGAGAAAGTTCATACAACTCAGGTGAGAGAAAGTTCATACAACTCATGAGAGAAAGTTCATACAACTCAGGTGAGAGAAAGTTCATACAACTATGTTGACAGAAAGTTCATACAACTCAGGTGAGAGAAAGTTCATACAACTTATGAGAGAGAGTTTATACAACTCAGGTGAGAGAAAGTTCATACAACTCAGGTGAGAGAAAGTTCATACAACTCAGGTGAGAGAAAGTTCATACAACTCAGGTGAGAGAAAAAAACTCAGGTGAGAGAAAGTTCATACAACTCAGGTGAGAGAAAGTTCATACAACTCAGGTGAGAGAAAGTTCATACAACTCAGGTGAGAGAAAGTTCATACAAATCAGGTGAGAGAAAGTTCATACAACTCAGGTGAGAGAAAGTTCATACAACTCAGGTGAGAGAAAGTTCATACAACTCAGGTGAGAGAAAGTTCATACAACTCAGGTGAGAGAAAGTTCATACAACTCATGAGAGAAAGTTCATACAACTCAGGTGAGAGAAAGTTCATACAACTCAGGTGAGAGAAAGTTCATACAACTCAGGTGAGAGAAAGTTCATACAACTCAGGTGAGAGAAAGTTCATACAACTCAGGTGAGAGAAAGTTCATACAACTCAGGTGAGAGAAAGTTCATACAACTCAGGTGAGAGAAAGTTCATACAACTCAGGTGAGAGAAAAAAACTCAGGTGAGAGAAAGTTCATACAACTCAGGTGAGAGAAAGTTCATACAACTCAGGTGAGAGAAAGTTCATACAACTCAGGTGAGAGAAAGTTCATACAAATCAGGTGAGAGAAAGTTCATACAACTCAGGTGAGAGAAAGTTCATACAACTCAGGTGAGAGAAAGTTCATACAACTCAGGTGAGAGAAAGTTAATACAACTCATGACAGAAAGTTGTTACAACTCAGGTGACAGAAAGTTGTTACAACTCAGGTGGGAGAAAGTTCATACAACTCAGGTGAGAGAAAGTTCATACAACTCAGGTGAGAGAAAGTTCATACAACTCAGGTGAGAGAAAGTTCATACAACTCAGGTGAGAGAAAGTTCATACAACTCAGGTGAGAGAAAGTTCATACAACTCATGAGAGAGAGTTCATACAACTCAGGTGAGAGAAAGTTCATACAACTCAGGTGAGAGAAAGTTCATACAACTCAGGTGAGAGAAAGTTCATACAACTATGTTGACAGAAAGTTCATACAACTCAGGTGAGAGAAAGTTCATACAACTTATGAGAGAGAGTTCATACAACTCAGGTGAGAGAAAGTTCATACAACTCAGGTGAGAGAAAGTTCATACAACTCAGGTGAGAGAAAGTTCATACAACTCAGGTGAGAGAAAAAAACTCAGGTGAGAGAAAGTTCATACAACTCAGGTGAGAGAAAGTTCATACAACTCAGGTGAGAGAAAGTTCATACAACTCATGACAGAAAGTTGTTACAACTCAGGTGACAGAAAGTTGTTACAACTCAGGTGACAGAAAGTTGTTACAACTCAGGTGGGAGAAAGTTCATACAACTCAGGTGAGAGAAAGTTCATACAACTCAGGTGAGAGAAAGTTCATACAACTCAGGTGAGAGAAAGTTCATACAACTCATGAGAGAGAGTTCATACAACTCAGGTGAGAGAAAGTTCATACAACTCAGGTGAAAGTTCATACAACTCATGAGAGAAAGTTCATACAACTCAGGTGAGAGAAAGTTCATACAACTCAGGTGAGAGAAAGTTCATACAACTCAGGTGAGAGAAAGTTCATACAACTCATGAGAGAGAGTTCATACAACTCAGGTGAGAGAAAGTTCATACAACTCAGGTGAGAGAAAGTTCATACAACTCAGGTGAGAGAAAGTTCATACAACTCATGAGAGAAAGTTCATACAACTCAGGTGAGAGAAAGTTCATACAACTCAGGTGAGAGAAAGTTCATACAACTCAGGTGAGAGAAAAAAACTCAGGTGAGAGAAAGTTCATACAACTCAGGTGAGAGAAAGTTCATACAACTCAGGTGAGAGAAAGTTCATACAACCCAGGTGAGAGAAAGTTCATACAACTCAGGTGAGAGAAAGTTCATACAACTCAGGTGAGAGAAAGTTCATACAACTCAGGTGAGAGAAAGTTCATACAACTCAGGTGAGAGAAAGTTCATACAACTCAGGTGAGAGAAAGTTCATACAACTCAGGTGAGAGAAAGTTCATACAACTCATGAGAGAAAGTTCATACAACTCAGGTGAGAGAAAGTTCATACAACTCAGGTGAGAGAAAGTTCATACAACTCAGGTGAGAGAAAGTTCATACAACTCAGGTGAGAGAAAGTTCATACAACTCATGAGAGAAAGTTCATACAACTCAGGTGAGAGAAAGTTCATACAACTATGTTGACAGAAAGTTCATACAACTCAGGTGAGAGAAAGTTCATACAACTCATGAGAGAGAGTTCATACAACTCAGGTGAGAGAAAGTTCATACAACTCAGGTGAGAGAAAGTTCATACAACTCAGGTGAGAGAAAGTTCATACAACTCAGGTGAGAGAAAAAAACTCAGGTGAGAGAAAGTTCATACAACTCAGGTGAGAGAAAGTTCATACAACTCAGGTGAGAGAAAGTTCATACAACCCAGGTGAGAGAAAGTTCATACAACTCAGGTGAGAGAAAGTTCATACAACTCAGGTGAGAGAAAGTTCATACAACTCAGGTGAGAGAAAGTTCATACAACTCAGGTGAGAGAAAGTTCATACAACTCAGGTGAAAGTTCATACAACTCATGAGAGAAAGTTCATACAACTCAGGTGAGAGAA